CATTGATTTTGACAAGGTTAATAGAAGAGGAAAGACATCTGAGAACTGAGACGTCTCTCTCACACATAAACGCACACACATACATCATACACAGCACCTTTTTACAGCACGTTGTTGCAGTCTGTTGCAATCTTTTTTTTGTAAAAAAACAAACAAGCAAAGGAGCATGGCATCTCTGTACTGTCTCTTACACAATCCCACAAACGAGGCAGAGAGCTTGAGCACAGAGAAGTGCAGACAGGAAGAGTTGGGAGGGAAAATCGAGTATATTGATTCAGGAGGAAGTTGAGAAAGTAAGGGGGTTGAAAAGGAAGACGCACACAAAGGCATGAAGAAATCAGAGAAAGACCGCAGCGAGAAAGTGAGTGAAAGTGACGAGTGAGTGGTGGAGCGAGAGTAAACAGAAGGCTGAAGTATCAAGGTGACTGTCTGCCGGGTTGTTTGGCAGGCTGTGCGGCTGAGAAGAGCTACGAATGGGTAGAAAGAGCGGAGCTGTGAGGGGATGAATGAGGCATAGAGACCGACTGCATTAATTAAGATTTTAGCAACGTCCTCAACTCTCATCCTCGCTGTCTGCATTTCTCACCCCTCAATACCTTTCAATTACGTGTGCTCTACAGTAATCGTCAGTTGTGGTTGTTTGGACAGTAAAGAGGTGCCTGGACAAATTCTGGGTGTGGAAAATGAAAGAACAAGTCGACAGACGACAGTAAACATGTTATCCTGCAAAAAAAATGCAGTCGCCTTTCAGGCCAATGAGTAGCTGTTATGTCACCTTTTTTTGACCTGTAATTGTAGCGTCTCCCATGGACTTGTATGTAATTAGAAAAAAAAAAAATACTAGAATGCAGTTGTGAACACACAAATTTGCAAAGAGACAGTTTTATAACACTGACTATAATTACAGGCCGTTAGCTTACTAACTGTTAGCTTAAAAAAACTCCACAGCATTCAACAATATTGAGCCTTTCTTGCTCTTCCTTTTACTTTTTCTTTGTCTTTCAACCCTTTACACACACAGACACACACACACACACACACACACACACACACACACACACACACACACACACAGACACACACACACACACACACACTGGTCTGTCTGGGTACCCTGTTTACCACCTGGATCACAAAAACAGGATTCGTGTGTGTGCATGTGTCTGTTTCACTGTGTATGTGTTAAAAGGAGCAGTTCTACCTTACCCAGACCACACAGGAAGGGCAGAGGGGTTGCCATAGCAACATGCTGTTCAGGTGGTTGTCAGGTGATGACAGCATAGAAAGGAGGATGGAGGGATGAGATGTCCTATAAAAAGAAGGGAGCCGGGGAGAGAGGGTAGCGAGAGAAAGACGGAACGGAATGAGGCATATGAGAAAGAAAGTGTGGAGGAGAGAGGCAAACAGGGGAAATAGAAGAAGAAGCAGTCAGAAAGGGGAAGGGGGGAAATGAACGAGCATCAGAGATTCTCCCAAGTCGGCCAATGGCACCTCAGTGAAGCTGTCACAAATCAGTCACTCCGTGTGCTTCTCACCATTCTGTCATTGCCAAGTTTAGCTGTCATTGCTCTTGCTCTTGATGACGGGCCTGTCACCAAGGACTCATCTAAGAGGCTTTAAGTTGTGTGCTGGCATTAAAAAGAGGAAGAAAGGCCAGGAAGTGGAGGTTTACCGTAATTTGTCGGATGGGGTCACTATGAAGATATGTGAAGACAACATCACTCCCACTACTTTATGTTGTGGCTTGTGAAGATATTCCCATGTTATAAATAAAGATTCACATTTTCAAGTCTGTAATACCCACATGCCCATATGTTGTTCCACTGAGATACCCATAGTTATTGGTTGCTGCAATTATTCCTCTGGAAATACTGGCTGTGAAAAGATCCCTCCCTAAGACTATTTCAATATAAGACAAAATCCACAGCCCTTGTTGTTCAGTGTAAAAATAAATTCAAATTTTAGCGTAGGCACACAGGCTGGCTAGTATCAGAAATGTACTGCTCAGAAATAGCTTTCAAATCAGCTCCATAAAGGCTGTTTAGGAAGTTAACAGCATTGTTGTTTTTAATTGGATCATTCAATCTATTTGCCCATAGTGAAACGGAGACATTGATCAATGTTATATAGATATAAGTTTGTAACATATATTGAGACAGTGGGAGATTTGTGTCATTTCCCTCTGGAGATTATGGTTCACCATGTGCGCCAGATGAAAAGAAAATGATTAAATTAAATTAAATTAAATTAAATTAAATTAAATTAAATTAAAAAGTCAGAGCAGTAAAAAAGTGCAGTGGGCTCGTATTCTCTCAGAGTTAATGTGATTGTTATATTTAGAAAAAGGGAAGTGGTTCTCTTCTAGATGAGTGACGACCATCAAAAACCTGTCAGTATGAACAGGAGGACTGATTACAGCGACCAATAATGTGTTAACTGTCAACTGGTCGGAGAACATGCTCATAGCGTCCACCCGGCGACACTAATGAAGGCTAATCCCTGATGTTCCTCTGTATCAAATTCAAGATGTCTGATTTGACACATTTTGATTGTTGCAGGGTTGGTTTTCTTTTTACTTTTAGAAAAGTGTAGGTAAAAGTGTGCTTTGGGGGATTTGAGTAACACCCTCATACAAGAGAGGGAAGGGAGCATTGTGGTGTGGAAGTCAAGTTGTCAAATCAGTTGTCCTGTCAGCCTGCCAGCTCACAGTCAGTGGCTGTCTCAGCTGTCAGTCACTGTCCTCACTTAACCCCCCCTACAAACATACACACACACACACACACACACACACACACACACACACACACACACATATATTTTACACATGAACACACATTAATGATCTCTGTTTATACAGCAGGAAGGCAATTAAATCCCTGGCACCTCTATTGCAATTTTAATGTTGCGTGTCTCTCCAGCTCCACTTCACACACTCTCCCCTCTTTTTCTAACAAACACACTCACACAGTCTCACAGTCTTTCATCAAAACCATCCACACCCACTCCACCCTTCCCTAGAGAGAGAGAGCGAGAGAGAGAGAGAGAGAGAGAGAGAGAGAGAGAGAGAGAGGTTCACTATTCTTGAAGCAAATGTGTTTCCTCATGCATTGGACAGGGCAGTTTCTGTACTATGGCCTTTTTTTTGTGCATGTGTGTGAATGTTATTTTTTCTGGTATTTCACTGTAGCTTACGTCAGTGAGGCTGACTTTGGCCAAACATTTCCCGAGTTAACCAGTACAGTTAATTAAAAGTATGTTACCTCTGTTAAGCTAGGTTTATCTTCGGGGCAGGTCTGATGCAGTATGACTCAAAGTAGCTCTGACCTACACTCGATTTAATCTGTTTCAAAATATTTACTCCACTGGCTGCCAAATTTACTCAAACAGGAACACTACGGAGGTAAGGGGGAGTTATTCTTACGTTAAGCCTGGCTCTTCCCTTCTTTTCTAGAGCGTTTAGCTGGTGGGCGCCAAGGGTCACTGGCCCACTGTCTCCCCCAGGACAAAAACGTGTGTGTCAGCTGGAGGTAACCCGAATTTCAGGTCCAGGGAAAAAAAAACAAGAAAGAACTGGTAGATGTTTTTTTTTTTTTTTTTTTTTTGGCCTCATTCACCATCTGTGTAAGGTAAAAAGGGCACAATGAGAGAGAGGGAGGAGTGGAGAAGTGAAAACAAAGACAACCAAACAGCCTGATATTAGAGAGCGGGAGAGTGGAGAGAAGATGGAGATGTGTGGAAATTAATGCTGAGGCCAGGGTTAGGATGATGAGAGGAGTGATAGTATAACACTGGAAAATAGGCCTGTGAGAATCATAGTGTTACAAATGGAGAGTGAAGGCTGGAGAGAGACATAAGCGGAGAGCTGATAGCTGGGAGACAGAGAAGGGGAATTGAAAACAGAACTGAGAGACCAGATTTACATGCAGATTTTTAGAGAAGAGCGATGAAACAGATAAAGGGAAGAATGTGGCTCGGAGGAATGGAGTATCAGTGTGTCCCTAAGCTGATTGGGTTGTTGTAGTTCGGGTTTGCTAACAACTGTTTTATTAATGAGGATTTGCTCTCCCACCCACCCCTACGCACACATGCGCAGTCATCCGCAGGCACACAGTGGCAGTGTGTCTGCGAGTTGTCACTGCTGACACAGTGACCCAGTCCAGAGGATGTAGGTTACCCTTTCTTGCAGCCCTTGGGTTTCTGCTCGTACTCACACGAGGTGACTCGGGATTCACTGTTGCTGACGCACAGCCGATCCATTTTATAGTTGTATCGTTTACTGAGTGCAAAAGCCATTTTTGGCTGTGTATGTGAAACAGAAATATAATGACTGTTCAAAAGACAACGGTACTTGTGAGGTTACTGGGCCAGAATGAAGTCCAGATCTGTTCACAATGTGCTAGTTAAGTGCTAATGTGGTTCCCCTCACCATCCAGAGAATAATGTAAAAATATGTACAGTATGTAAAGTAAAACCTGCTGAATTATGTTTTTTTTTCCTGCCTCATTCTTCCGGCCTTTTCCTTACCTTGAAATCTCTGTATGCAGTCTTAAAAAACTTTATACCATTGCCAGGAAAAGCAACAGCTGTCTGTTTACACGTAGACACTTAGAACAAAGTCCTGCTCAACAGTGGATCTTCTGTTGTGGATCAGTGCACAAGGTAGATTGAAATGCAATACATATGCGTCTGTCTAAGTTAACAGTTAATTCACTGGTGAAACTCTCCTAATATTGGTTAGAATTACAGGATGGATTCAACAGATTCATTGAACACACACTCCTTTTTTCATCTGGCAAAGGCTCATGGTATAAGTGCATTAATGCACTCCAAGATATATTATTTGACTCAGTAGAGCTTCATGTTGTCTTGTTCATGCTTCCACCTTCCTTACATAATATTAGGTGTCTCTCATCTCTGACAGTTACTGTAAATAGGATACAGTACAACCTAGTCAGGATATAATTTTTCTTTGTGCCTCATCTTTACACTTGTACTTTCAGGCTTTGCAGAAGTTAGCGAGCCAGTACCTAAAGAGAGACTGGCCCGGAATCAACCCTGATGACCAGAGAACAGACTATAGGTAGGTGTGTGTGTGTGTGTGTGTGTGTGTGTGTGTGTGTGTGTGTGTGTGTGTGTGTGTGTGCATATGACAGTGTGCATTGTAAGTATACAGCCACACTGCCAATAAAACACAGCATAAAATTGTTGTTGGTTTTATAACAGTTGCAGCACTCGGATGTAAGCCAAATCTTGTGCTCTGCCGGATTTTCTCCAAAATTCTCGAAAAAACATAATATGGTCTACAGCACATATATGAGTCATTATTTACTGTAACAGAGGCACTGCAATACAAAACCTCAAGCTGGATCCAATTTTTTCGGAAAACCAGAAATGAAGGCATTAACTCCGCACTCTCCACGGTTTCACAGTTTTCTTGGTTCCAGCAACTACACAAACCTTTATCCCCTTCCAGGTGCATGCACATACAGTTTGTCAGACTCACAGTGGCAAATATACTAGTGGTGTAGAGGAATTTAAAATTCAGCCACTCTGCAGGAGAACTTTATGGTTTTCTAGCCAATTGGTCATGGGAGTGCAAGTTATACAACAGCAATCATTCGGCATTGTTTGTGGTTTTTCTCTCCAACTAGGAATGTGTATGCAGTGTGGAGGTCCTACTTAGAAGGCACGGTGCAGGTGAGCCAGTCCAGGCTCAACGTGTGTGACAACTACAAAAGCCAAGTATCAGAGCCTGCTAAGACTGTTAGACTCTACAAGGAGCAGCAGCTCAAAAAGGTGAGCAAATGTGTGGACTGCGAGAGTTAGTCATAGTTTCCCGAAGCAATCCTTGTTCTCTACCCCTCTCTGTAACATCCTCCCATGTACTCACATTGAGTTAACGTGACTCATTCCAGTCTGCTCTTTCTTTTTTTCTGTTCTTTTTCCCTTCACAGACCATAGATCAGTTGAGCGGCATTCAAGCTGAGCTGCAGGAGTCGGTGAAAGAGTTGGCCAAAGCCAAGAAAAAATACTACGACTGTGAGCAGGTTGCCCACGCTGTACGAGAGAAGGCTGACATAGAGGCCAAGTGAGTTCACCATGGCGCTGTGTGTGTGTGTATGTGTGTTGGTAGGGATGTGCGTAAAACATATTTTAAAAAATGCTCTGACTAAACAGATGGCATCCATTGTCAAAAAGAATACCATCAAGAAAACAAAGTTGGTTAACCTCACAGAGAGAGTGTGAGTGTGTGGGTGTGAGAGATAGAGAGAGAGGGAGAAACATCATCATTAAGGCTGAAAGAAGCAATTACATACAGTATATATGGTGGTGTTTATGATAGTCAGACAAAGAGGATACAGATATAAAGCAACCAAAACACCACAAGAGCATAAGTACAGAATCTCTGCAACACTGGTGGTTGCAGTTCCAAGCAATAACCAAATCCGAATCATGTCTGTAGACAATAAAAATACATGTTTTTATTTCTCTCAACTGCAGATAATATCTCTATCAGATATTATTTGAAGCCTGCGGTACCACGATTAGTACCAAAGTTTGATCCAGAGCTGATGAGTGTTGTCCCCCTCCCCTCCCCCAGCCCTTTCAATGGTGACATTTTCACTTCACTGAATTCTCGTCTCCGGTTAGCGCCCACATCGATTGGCCACTCAACTCTTTTCTGTTGCTGCTCCCTATCCCTATCACTCAGTAGAAAGACACTGCCACAGAAATTACTGCATTGCCGCTGTGCCATTATGTGAGCGTGTGTGTGTGTGTGTGAGAAAAATGTTGAGACATTAGTCATTGTAAGGCACAAGGAACACACAGGAAGACTTGGTGTGAATGCCGAGACACAACACACACTTTATACCTTTAATGCCACTTGGTGCATACAGCAGGGTAACACATAGAAACACTCCACATGTAGACAATACAGACAATATAACACACTTGTAATGCGTTTGTGTGAGAGTTAATGGAATAGACACAGTCTGTTTTTAATGTACATAGGCACAGTAGCACAAAAAGTAGTGCAGATACGCATGCACACAGGCTCACTCCATCATTTTAGCAGGCAGGTCTTTCTAATGCCACCATCCATATAAATCGTGATGGCTGGATCAGGCTGAGATTTATTGCTGTCAAGCTTCAGCCTGTCCAGGGGCAATATATGATCCCTGCTCTGAATCAGAGGTTAGAGATCAGAGTTATGATGTTGTAGGAATGCCTGGATATCTTTCTCCTTTCTGCCTTACCTTGTTGTTAAAATATGTTTGTGATGATGGTGATGATCATTAAGAAATAACAATGTGTCTTTGTTTTTGCATTTTTTAGTGCACAAGAATATAACTTTATATGTATTTGTTAACTTCCTTTGCTTGCTTTTTTTCAGGTCCAAACTGGGTCTTTTTCAGTCAAGAATTAGTTTACAGAAAGCAAGTGTGAAGGTAAGAGGGCTCACTCACAAAGACACTAAACACAAAGCCATGATACAAAAACAAAAATGGTTGTTTCTCTTCCCTTTCTTTAATGACCGCAGACCTTAAAAAGAGACTCACTTAAAGTGTAAAGCTCCGGTCTGTTACTGCATTAACTGCAATAATGTCTGTCTCTCATTTCATTCCAGTTGAAAGCTAAGAGAAGTGACTGTAACTCCAAGGCAACACAGGCCAGGAACGACTACTTGCTAACGCTAGCTGCTGCCAACGCTCACCATGACCGGTACTACCATACAGATCTACTGCACTGCATACAGGTATTTAAATGAAGACCAATATACAGAATTAAAAGATGTGAGTAGTGTGAGAGAGAATCCTCGTCCTATGCCATAAATGTGGACATTTGAGTAAAACTGCACATTTTATATAGAATCAAGGCAGCTCAAATGGTCGTTTGCAATGCTATAACGACATTTTCTTTTACTACAAGTACTTACTTAAGAGTCTCACGCACTGATAATACCCCGAGGGATTTTCCAGGAGACACGTTTTCTGGTTCCAAATTTCAAAGTGGGGAGCCTCTTTGAATTAAACCTCAATTTGGGATAAAATGTTTTCCTTTTATGAGTGCACAAAGTCAGCCTCCCTTTCTATATAACTGAAGTAGTTGGAGGGGGAAAAGGCATACATGAAAAAGTTATGATTTCACAGTTTTGAGTCTTCAAAGAAAGTCACAGAGTTCTCTGGATTTATTATTTGAAAGGGGCTTATGTGAAGAAAAATCCTACAAAATGAGCCATCCTTGCCAAATGATTGGTAGGCATGAAATGAAAATTATCACAATGTTGAATGAACTGTACCAAGAGGAATTCTCAGAAAGCTTTGACATAGTTTGCCATTTCAAACACTGTCTGGTCATCAAAGGAAGGATGCAGATAAGTTTTCTGCATCGCTGATGTTTTCTTTTTCTGCTCCACATCTGGCCCCCTCATACGACACGCAACTGTGCATTACTGTGAACTTGATTGTGTGTTTGTCTTTTCTCAATATGAATGTGTGATGTAGGTTTCACGATTTTAGTAATGTACTTAATTGTGAGTCATCTCAGTTATAACCCCATTACTGTAAGTAATCACGTTCTGCGGCTTAAAGCATTAACAAGTTGCGACTCAGGAGCCAATTTGATGTCACCCCTCATAGTTATTTAATCAGCGGTAGCAATCGGCTGTTTGTGTGTAGAAACGTTCTGTACTATCTGGCCCTATACAAACCTTCTGGCACATGCACAAAATAAAAACACAGGAAGAAATTAAGGCTGAAATATCTGCATGCCATTGTGCTTACAAGACAGGAAATCCAGGTCTGTTAATTCCTGTTGACTGACCACAAAAAAATCCCCCCAAACTGAGACAATGATACTTGGAGTATTGCCTTATTCTGGTAATAATCTAATTATTTGTGTGGATGCAAACATGTAGGTACGCATGAAAGGCAGAGACATACACATCCACACACACAAGCTGACAGTCTGCACAGACAGCCACACCTCGGCTACTGTGTGCAGTAAAGGAGCTGGGTGATGGTGATGTCATCCTTCTAAACACTGTACAAACATGCAAGTCTGACACACACATATTCACATGTAGGATGTTTTCATTGTCGGACAGTCATTAGTCTGAGACATAACTCTGTTTTGGGAGTTAACACACATACACACACACATGCAAGACATGCATATTAGAACAGCTGGGTGACTTATTTTTCTTGTCTGTTTAAACCATGAAATGAGTTGCAAATATTTCAGAATTAATACAATATTAATCGGCCATTAATGTTCCTCTTCTATTTTATGGCGTTCCGTTACTTCTTCAGATGCTCTTCCCTGTCTCTTTGTTTTTGTCTCAGATACTCTGCCTCAGGCGTATATGAGCATCTATACTATGAGGCCATTCTGAATAATAGATCTTTAGCTCCTTGTGACAGAAGGACAGGACTGCGGGGAAACATGCACGTACACTAATACATGTACGCAAACACACAAAGCGAATGAGGGACATTGCCAGAGGGAAGCAATCTGCTCGCCCTCTCTCCCTCCTCTGCAGTTTCTTTTTTGTGGTGTTTACAGGTCTTCACCTGACAGTCACGGATAACACAGCTCTTAGTAGGGGGACCAAAATCTACAACTCAGGAAAATACCAGTGCTTTTCACAGTTCCAGACATGTTTTGCTCCACAGAGATATGTTGAGAAACGCAACACAAAAAGCAGCATCAATGGCAGACATAAGAATAATAGCAGACTAGGGAATATATGCATAATCAATACAACCCAGAAAACAACAACTGTTTTTTAGCACTGTCTCCATTTCCAACAGTAATTACATTCCTTCGAAGAAAACAATTGTTCCCCTTGCATTTTTATGAGCACCATCATTGGATATGGCCATGGGAGGACATTTTGGAACAGGGACATATACTAATACATTTCATTGTATATGTTACAGTCAGAGGTGGTAGGATTCATATCCTTTACAAAGTAAAAGTACTAGTACACATTATATAACATTCAAGTAAAAGCCCTGCAGTTAAAATCTTACTTAAGTAAAAGTATGTAAGTATAATCAGAAAGATCTTCTAAAAGTAAAAGAAGTTGAGGATTATGCAGATCATATATTATATCACTAGATCATTGTTACTCATGCATTAATGTGTGTGTAATCTGTACATTTTGCTGTTGTTGGTTGAGGTGTGGCTAATTTAAACTATTTTGGATAGAACCGAAACTATTGATTATTTTAAATCAGTAAAAGGTGAGAAATGCTGTCATAATAACAAAGAGCCTAAAGTCACACCTCCACAATGCTTGTATTGCCAAACCAACTGTCTCCTCAAATTACATAACTAAATTTAAATCATTAAAATTAATGAAAAGGAAAAGCAGCAAATCGTCTCATTTTGGAAGCTTTGGCAAATGTTTGCAATTGTTTCAGATCTACTTACTATATTGTTAGGTAGTTTAATTTATAACAAAAATAAATATTTTCAAATATTTAATTTGTTAAGTAACCAGTAACTTAAGTTGTCATTAAAAGCATTTGTGCATTAAAAAGAACAATATTCCTCTCTGAACTGTAGTGGATTAGAAGTAGATAGTGGCATGAAAACAAAATACACGAGTAAAGTACTTGAACAAATGTAACCACTGGTTATAGATTTAATTCTAACGGAAGTTCATGAGCTCTCTTTAGCTAGATCAAGACCTTTTCTGTCTTTAATGTTCAACCATGCAATGTCAACCACATAGAAGAAGATAATTAACTGGATGTCAAAACATGTCTTGAATATAATTGAGCAGTTGTGTAGACAAGAGGGATGAGGAGACTTGTAATTGAAAGCCTTGTTTGGATCTGAAGTTCACTTCATGAATACTGACTGCACCGACTGTATCCGCAGGAATAACATATATGTTACACTGAGAGCTACTGTCCTTGTCAATGCGACAGTTGTAGTGAAAGGGCAGTGTGGGAACAGACTGCTCCACGTCTCCCTCTGCTGTTGGCAGCCGATGCTCTTATAACTGTCTAACTGCTAGACACACACACACACTTACACTTACACCTCTGCTGCCCTGTCTGGTCCACTGTGCTGAACTTATTGTTCAGGCTGATGCAGTCATTCAACCGAAACACACACAAAAACACACACCCACTGACCAGTGATATCAGGACGGGAGCTTTTTCTGGAAGCTGACTCACTCTCCATTTCAACACTACCGTAAATGGATGAAAGAAGGAGGGGAGGAAGAGAAGAAAGGGGGAGGAGGAAGGAAATGAGTGGAGTGATGAGGGGACATTTAGAGAGAAGTCAGCCAACAATCCACCCTTAATGACATAATTTCCTTGTCAATTTCCCATTGTTTTAGTCTGTTGATTGTGTGTGCATTTGTGGGGTTTATTAATTCAATGTAGGTGTAGGTTAGTGGGAGGTTACAGACTTGGCCTGAAACATCCCTTGGCCGGCACAGTGTGAGTGCAGGTTTGAGAGTGTGAGCTTTTATAAAGTGCTTTGGCTAGAGGAGAGTATGAGCGTCTGAGTATTTGAGAGTGCGTTTGTGTGTGTGTGTGTGTGTGTGTGTGTGTCTGCGGTCTCTGTGTTTTGTTGAATTGGAATCTGAACCCCTTCACCTTCCCTTGCAGCTGTTAGAACGCTATCCAAAGAACACTTTACATACACACACACACACACACACACACACACACACACACACACACACACACACACACACACACACTGGTCTCCGATACACTAATTTCTCTGTCTGTTTCTCTCTCTTACTCTTTTATACCTTTTAAAAAGCTCACTCGTCCTCTCTTACCTCCTCTTCTCCTCCTCTCCATTAGCCTCTCTCTCTTTCCTCTCTGTCTGATCTGTCTGTTTGGCAACATGGCCCACAGCTTGGCAGCAGTACTCCAGCCTCCCCATAGAAAGGCTGTTCATTTGGACTGCATACTTCATTAAAATGTCTTTATATCAGTGCATCAGAACCTGTAATGATAAGAGCTGTCTCATGAAAACATCTGCTTGGTTCTGTCCTTCCTTTGGCTTTCTGCTGTTGCCTCTTATTGTTTATCTCACCGTCTTTCTCTTCTCTATTTCTTTTTCTTTCTTTCTCGGTTTAGTTTTATTCATAAAAATCTGTGTTCAATTATAATATATATATTGAACTTTTGTTCAGGGTTGGCAGCAACTTCAGGCCACTGGTGATGTGTGTGCGTGTGTGTGTGTGTGTGTGTGTGTGTGTGTGTGTGTGTGTGTGTGTGTGTGTGTGTGTGTGTGTGTGTGTGTGTTGGTGTGTAACAAACCTAATTTACACAGTAGTCAGATTAAAGCTCAGTGGAGCTAGGCTTGAGATCACATGAACTCTCTGAAAACTATAAGAATGATAATAGTGAAAGTTGTCCCGCCCTAACAAGTGCAACAGAACTAACAGGGAGGGAGCTGTCAGTCAATAACTTGAGATTAGACTTGAGAAGAGGTCTAATCAGACAACTAAGTGAAAACACTTGTGTGGGTGGACTATAGGTCATCATATGGTGACCTAAAGGCACATACAAAAATGTGTCTGTCTTGTCTTGACTCACAGTCTAAGTGGTTTTGATAGCTGATATTCTGTAAAGATTGGGAAATATGCCAAGTGATGCATGAAGCTTCTTGTTTTCAGTTGAACGCATATCTATGCATTGTCAGATAGTATGTTGGTTGAGGCTGTTGTGTTCCTACAATATATTCATGACTATATAAACCTACATTTGAATAAGGATTTACTTCTTTAGAGAAACATTGTCCAAAGTTTTACTGCATATCCCTTTCTTACATTTAAGTTAAACAAACTAGTCTAACTTTATTAACTACACATGCTGAAGGTAAGTTTTTCCTCCAGACTCAAAATAACATTGACAGGAAGAGCACAGGCCTCCAGTTACAAAATAGTTTAGGTTAAGCTGATAGCTGGGAGTTTATTGATGATGCTGGTGTGTAGAAGAAAAACCAGTATACTGCTAAAGCTTTTGTAGTAAGTGGCTTTATTCACCTGCCCTCTTTGTTTCCTCTGTCTGTCTCTTTCTTGGCGTGTCCTCCCAATTCCCTTGTACTCGCTACTTTATTATTAAGGATTATGAAATTACATTGAATTAATCCATTCTTCACTGTAACCCCTGGTCCTTCTCTCTCTCTGTCCTCTAGGCCTTGGATGGCAGGATCTATGAGCATGTGAAAGACTACCTGGTAGCACTGTGTCGTACCGAGTTAGAGGCCTCCCAAGCCACACACAACACCTTCCAGTTCCTGTTGGACAAATCCACCAGGGTGAGTGAGATGTGGTGAGAGACACAGACATTCTGCACTCATTTGTAAGCTAGTACTTGTAGAAAAATGCAGGGTTTTTTTGGTTTAAAAACAGATACTGTGGGGGATATATCCATCAATCTTCTTGACATCATAGCATGATCAAAGTGTTTTTATTGCAAAAACAATGTGTATTTCTTCAGTGAAATAAATGGGACACCTTGACATTTTGAGTTCATTTGTTATTACTAGGCCCTATTTCTATTGCGGTAGGGGAATTGTGCCTCAGACTGGAGTTTTGAAGCATTGTTCACACACAGCATTTTAATAAAAACAAATGTTAAACTGAGGAATGTAGAAATGCTAGCAAGACATTTGTAAGGAAACCAAAAGACAGTGTATAAGAAACGATACGATTCAGTACGAAAACTGTTTGTGTTGTCTGTGTAGTCTACGCCAAATGAACTGGAAACCATTCTCATCGTGATTGGTTTTCATCAACACAGTGTGTGCAGGCTAGTTAACGGAACAGTTGAGTTCAGTGTCTCTCAATACACCGTCACCTGCAGCTGCTCGGCAGGCTCAGTTCTTACCAAGAGTTATATTACCTTTTGTACTTTCTCTCAGACATTGTGACCTGACCTGGATGCCATTAAAGTGATGCTCAAAACATCAAACCAAAAATCGATGCATGAATATGAAATACTTACCGACTGTAGGCTTGAAGTGTGGCTGTAAAACGTTTGTAGTTTGCTCCTTCACGGGGAACAGAGGCTGCGGTCAGCGTGAATTGTCTGAGGTCACGATGGATTCCAATATCCAAGTTTTCACAGTAAGGAAACTTGCATGAGTACACGATTAACTCCTTCTGTCTTCCTCTCAGATAATACAAGAGTTCAACCAGCAGATGTTCATGCAGGAGAACCCAGTGTTTCACAAAGCACACGACTTCCAGTTCCAGCCCAGCGAATGTGACACGGTGAGACCCGCAATGCTGCACACGCATCCACTGTAGTATTCAGATCCATACAGATGCAGCTCTGGGCTCTGCTGTGTTTAGAGTATCTTAATGTTGAACTTTTATTGTTTGTATATGAACCTGTTCACACAGCAGTAGAGTCACCCCGTCTCTCCCTGCCTGTCTCTTTAAAGGCACACAGTGAAGAAGACAATCAGCCTCTTGTGTTGCTACATTCAGGCCTTTTCTTTTTTTTTCTTTCCCCTCCAATATTGTATTTTATAAGTGTCGCTGAAGTTCTCAGCCCATCTCAATCAGCTGGATCACTGAAACAGAATTAATTTACGCTATTATGGTTTTAGAGAATGCCATTAATACATCTGGGGCTGAGAGGCTTGCCAAGCTGGAAATCAGAAAAACCAAAGCTCAGATGTTTGGCTCTTTTGTTTTCAGCCTTTGGAGATTTCTTTATATTAACAAGTCAGGATGGAGTTGTCCAGTTAACTAGTGTCTGGTGACAGCATGATAGCAGCATGAATCTGCTCTGTGTTCTAATATTAACCATTTCAACGCCAAATGTTATGTGTCCACTGGGAACTTTTCTTTGTAGTCCTGGCTTTTTTTTCCTTCATCATTTACATAAGCGAAACTTTTTTTGTCAAATCAAGTGGTTGCTGAATGTTAAGAATGTTTCAAATTGTCGTAAATCGATCAGCGCTGGTGGGATTCATGCTGTCTCAGCCCTCTTGGGGCCTTGTTAGGTTTTGCTGGATAAAAAAAGAAATGTCTCCCAGTGGACATTGGTCCTAATTCCTCTATAGCTATCCTTTTCTCCTGTGTCTGAGTCATTTTGTGCTCTCTTGTTTCTCTGATTCTTTCCCTCTGTCACTCTCTCTCACTGTGTTCTGCCAAATTTACTTTCCCTCTCTGATCTTTCCCTTTTCTTTATACATAAACTGGTGCTATAACATTTCTCTAAACAACAATGTGCTATACCTTCCCTGTGTCTTCCTAATCCTGTTCAACCTTTGCTAACACTTTTCCCTGAACTTTTTTTCCATTAACCCCCTCCTTGTATTTGTGTGTCCGTGTGCTTGCACTGCTGCTCTTGGATGTGTGGGTGTGCGGGTGCTTGCCTGTGTGTATGTGTGTGTGCCAGACTCTGAGCTCGGTGCAGCAGTTGGTGGACATTGAGCCGTCGCCCGTCAGTGCCATGAGAATGACCCTGGCACAGGTAGTCTTAACTGTTGTTAGCATTCCCATCTTCATTCCTGACATTAAACCATGGATCATCTACTCCATTCATCTATTTATCTGTCTGTCCTGGTGACATTCACTTGAACATGTACTGTATGTATTGCCTAACAAAGCCGTGGTAATTTATTTTTATTTTGTTTTGCTGTTGCCCTACAAAAATGACTGTTTTTGTGCCCACATAATGATCATTTTTGGCATGTGCCCACAACCAAACACATCGTAAATACATGTGATTTACTGTAGATCAATAGATTACATATTAAAATGATTGTAAAATCCTGGGTTATGCATACTCTAACTCGTTAAAGGCCTATCTGCCTGTGATCGAGACAGTATGGTTGTTATTATACATAACCATGGTTTAGGAGGACACACATTGTACTGTTATAAAATACTAACTTGGCCAAGTCACTGACCTGGCAACACAATATTAAAACATACACTAAATGCCACTCTCCAAAATAACCTGAAGTATAACGTGCTAAGGTGGACAGCTGCTTTCTTCCATCCTGATTGATGTCAACAAGACATCCTAATTATCCTTCCTGGTAAGCCGTGTGGCCCATCCTTCTTCCCAAACAGAAAGTAGTGTAGCCGTTACAGCATGTCTTGCCAGCTTCAACACAAAGACTTCTTACACAGGGGACTTTATTCCTCTTTGTTTCTCTTCGCAAATAGTGTTCAGGTCCATAACCATAGAAATAACGTGTGCAAGTTTTCCTCCTTTACTTAATGTTTTAATTTCTGTAAATATTATTGCCCCATGTCATAGTAATATGCCCATGAATGTTGCATGCTGCTTCATAACTAAACAGGTGTGGCTACAATTACACCAATGACATCATGACCACTGCTGGTGTTAAAGATAAGAATAAACATGACATATGTATGAGGCTCTTAATGATTGGTTTAGATGTATTTGGTCATAACGTTAGTTTTAACTTGGGTGTAGATTTCATTTCAACAGTGATATCAGACAAGATTAAAGAACAGCAGTTGTTTCACATGTTTCTTATTTGACACTTAATAAACTCATAATTCTGGAGACAATTATGAATTTTCCTTCCTACCATTACCCTTGTGATTGCAATTGGATACATTGTGAGACAAATAGTTACTTAGTTAGCTTTATTTATTCAGGAGATCTCATTGAGATCAAGATCATTTGCAGGAGAAAACAAATTAAATGTAGACGAAGAACAGGAAAATTCAAATTAAAAACAATCATAAACTTTATTAGAAATATACACTAGTAAATTAAAGTTTCTCAGAGGAGCTAACTTCAAGGTGTGTTGCAGTTCATTCCAGTAGTAAGATGCATATTACCAGAAACCACCGGTGATCTGGTGTCTAATAAGCTATTACTATAAATGGATTTTTCAGAGAGATGTCATCAGTGAGATGTGTGCACACAAGGGGTAAAAAACAAACCAAAATGACTGACAGCATATGAGGAGATCAGCATGGGGAGTTGCTTTTAGGCCTTACACTGCATTAATCACAAAAGTAATCAGGAACAAGTAAAACCAGTTAGTGAAGGTGCCTATATGCCCTGAAGTCATCTTTAATATGACTATATATAGTGTTGAGTTTATTTTCAGGAAACAGCAGGATGTATTTTCATACATGGTAGTGTTACTTCTATTTGTTATGCTAACATATCTTGTGTGGTTGAGTTGTGAGGGACACTCACAGGTCATTTCTCACGCTAATGTAAAGCTAACATAGTGTAGTCAGGTTCAGCATTATCACTGCTGCTACCTGCTGTTTCTCACTAAAATATGTGAGTGTTACATATATTTTCACCTCTAAAAAGCAAGTACTAATATATTTTATCATGACATTGTAGAATGTAGAGTTTTAAATCTAATTCTGTTTGTTGCAGTATTATTACTATATCTCAATGTCTCCCTGCAATGTCTAGCTGCTCCATGATAATGAAACAAGAGAGCCACATTTGCTGGATTACTAAACACCTTAAAACAGCGGCTTCACAGCACCGTATTACTGTCACACTGTCATGTGTTGGTGAGCAATGTAGTCCAAGAATCCGATGACTCATCATGTAATGCAACCTTGTTGTTGTTGCATCATCTTTTGATATCACACTAAATGAGTCAAATGTTCACATCGTTTGTGTGAATTTTATTTGCACGTTTGTAGTGTGTCCTGGGTCACTGCAAGCAGAATGACCACCCTGTGTACTTGTTTTGTTTTTCCTTTTGTTGTTTATGTGAATATTCTTTCTTTATTAGATTCTGTGTTACCTCACCATTACCAAACAACCACACCAAAATCAAGCTACATGCTTACCGTGAATAAGTTTTAGTATTGTGTAAGTTCTGTCCAAATAATAGGGAAGTCTTCTCTTTTTAGCGTCTGCAAGCAGCAACCCATAAAACATTAAATGTTGGCTACACAAAGTACTGAATGTGAAATTATGCTATCTTAGACTAAAACGGAATTGGATGAAGGATAAAGCGATTCTGTTTTTATTTACAAGCAGTTCTTTACCTGTACACATATTGTTTAGGAATTATAGGTATTAGGATAACACCTTTTAGTTTAATGCACGTAATAAGTCTAATCATAGCAAAGCGTTCCCACAGCAAGAAGGCACTGCTGTCTCTTCTACTGCCGGTTGCGCAGACACCTTGCAGTCCTGGACTCCCACTGCTTTTAAAAATCCATTAAAGCAGCTCTTATAGAAATACTGCTGCCTCGAGTTAAGTGTGACACAGGTGCTGTTCAACGTGATGTATTATATTCGTCAAGACAGTGGTGTTTCTCTGCAAGCTATGCAGAGAGATCCTTTTTTAGAAAACAATGGGGGCCTGTTACTTGTGTGAAATGAAGCAGACCTGCAATAGAAAAGACAGTTGTTACTGTGACGCAAAACATCATTGAGTTTAGAGCTTTTCTGGCATTTTGCCTTAAAGTAATATGATAGGAAAGACCTACAAGTGTTTAGAGTGAGGGGATAGAGCACGAGTCCTCAGCTGCAACTGAACTAGAGACGTTGGCATTACATGAATGAAAAAATCAAGAAGAAAATGAGCAAATTAGAGTTTTTTTGCTACCGGTATATTGTATTCGTTCCATTCACACAGTCAACTACACAACTTTGACACAGTCCATCCTTTCATCACCGTGGTTTCCAAAAACACAGTTGTTCTACATAGTGCTCTAAATGACTGTTATTATGACACTGGAGGTAGTTATTGAAGTGCAGTATGATCACTCCCTTTTGACTTCACAATTCCCCTAGCTGGCAGGCTGACTAGCCATCATTTTGCCTGTTATCACATTTACAGTAGTTGCTAATGATTTATCATTTGGCCCTGATTTAACAAATTCTTATTTGACATTGGCACATTAACACATTCAGAATGCAATCTGACTAACATAGGTCATATTTACTAAATCATGATAATTGGAAATAAAATAAATTGATATTTTGTACTAAACTGCACTATGTCACTTAATGTCCTATATTAGCTGTTTCACATTGCTTACTAGCTTTAGGGATAAATATAGAGCTGAAATACAGAATACAGGATCGACACCAAACACCATCACAGAAAGTCCTTAAAAGGTCACATGACAAGGCGAAGATTCAAAGTATTTTGTATGCCAGTATTCATATTTTCCCCACAACATGTAGATGCTGGTCGGCCGCCTGAAAGAAAGTCTTATTTACTCTGTTTACTCCATTAGTATTATACCAATATTTTTAGCAAACGATCAGTGCACAAATTAGCTGAGCTCCCTCCATGACATGTCAGTTTAGAGGCACTGTTCAAATCTAGTTTTCTGCTTCCCTGCCTTAACTCCCTCCCATACTCCCTTGCCTGAGTGTAATTAAGCTGTAAATCTCCCATGTAATACTCTTCTTCGTTTCACACCTATACTTAGCCAGATTTATGCCCTCTTGTTACTGTAGCAGCACATAATTAATAGATATGATATGTGCATGGAAACTTGCAATTAAAATATTGTGTACTTTAGTCTGGGTAACACACTTTTATTATCAGATTATGGAAACACCAGCCTCTCAGGTCTGTGAACACACGCCAGTGACACTGTATCCTGAGGCTCAGTTTGTTATTGTTTTAAGTAGCAATTTTCTTCTGGATGTAGCCAGAAAATGTGTCATGCTTTACATTTTTGCTACTTATATAAACTTTATAAGCCACTGATATATTTATACAGAATCTACAAACTCTATATGGATGTTAGTAACACTTATTTCTGCAAAACAGAGATGGAAGTTTAGGTTCTGCAGACAGGGGTTGTAGGACAACGCATTTATTGAGTTATACACCACTGACAGCATATATAAGAGTTACCCACCGTGCTAAAAAGTATTCTTTTTGTTTCCCTAACCATGTATGACCCATATTTATGGTAGACAATGAAAAGATCTGAGTCACATTTGTAAACAAAGAAGAGAGGAAGACAAGAAAAAAATATTAGAAGGTATGCTATCATAAACCAACCTTTTGAGAAATTGATTTTAATAAACAAAAAAAGGCAGAAAGCAGCGAAAGTACAGTGACATTTCGTTTTTCAATAAGGTATATAGATGTACTATTGTAAAATTAAAGGATAGGACTTTTGTCAAGCAGGTTTTTTGTTACAGCTAACCATATATTTTTGTGGCATGGAAATTAGCTTTTTGTAAAAAAGAAATACAGAAATCTCCCATGTGAAATACACACATTTTTTTTAACTTCAACTTTAAGTTTTCAGGGCCTTTAAAATAAAATGCATGCTGGTTCTTTTGTCGGTAAGTGGTGGATTAGTGACTAGGTGTATAAACTTGGAACTGGAAGAAACACATGTAAAACATTAGTCTCTGAAAAAACAAATTGCCACATGGTTATAATTGATATTGAATGTTTTATTAGAAAGCCAGGCAGATTCCTCGATAGGCCCATTATGTTCTTTTGAAAGGAATAAAAATGCCATACACCTCCTTCTCTATACACACACACATGCTCTTTCACATGTGGCTTTAATAGCAGCTATTTTGTTTCAAGAGAATAACAACAGAGCTTTGCAACACACGCTGTATTGATTACGTTAGAAGAAAACTTTCTCTCACACTTTCTTTAGCTTAATTAACAGCTTCTGCATATCAGTCACCTTGTGCCATAATTGCTGTCAGTGTACTTATGTGTGCATTTGTGTGTTTGCCTGCCATGCTGGTGTGTGTGTGTGTGTGTGTGTGTGTGTGTGTGTGTGTGTGTGTGTGTGTGTGTGTGTGTGTGTGTGTGTGTGTGTGTGTGTGTGTGTGTGTGTGTGTGTGGGCCTGGGTACGTGTGTGTTTACCCACGCCTGTCTGGTATGTATGTTTGTATGTGTGTGTTTGTCTGTACTAGAGTCGTCAGCTGGAGTCAGAGACAGGGACGACGGAGGAGCACAGTCTGAACAAGGAGGCCAGGAAGTGGGCAACCAGAGTGGCCAGGGAACACAAGAACATCATACATTACAAGAGAGTAAGATGAACACACACACACACATACTGCACATTTGTCATGTATACCCAAGACACATACACACACAATGTACTTGTGTTTTTCTAATAAAGTTGTGTGTGTTGTTTTCAGTGTCTGGAGGAGTGTGAGAGCCATGGCTTGCCGCCCACAGAGCAAGGCAGACTAGATCTGGAGATGAAGATAGAAGACACCAAAGAAAACATGCGCAAAGCTGAGGTATGTCAACATTTATTTTTGATCACAACCCTCTTTAAAGCCCCTGCAAGGAATTTTCATTTTGTGGTGATTCTGGCGGCCGCGTTTCCACCACCACGCTTCACTGATTTTAAGGGGAATCCCACCAAATCCGACCCGATGGCAGGAATTAAGAATTACTGCATAGAAATAGATAATGGGAAATGTTCTCGCTGATGGTCTTGTTTGTTTATGGAGAGTCATCAGTATTAAATTATATGTTCCCTTAGCAATGTTGCCTCAGTGTTCGCATTAAACTCCACCGTTTCTGTGTCAACTTTGGTTGTTCGCCCTGCCAAAGCTAGGCCCCGGCCTCTAATACCATGTGCATGATATGGCGGTATGGGGAATGGATGGATAGATGTTCTCTCTTTTCTGAACAAACTTCACTACAAACAGAAATGTGTGTTCAAGGGAAAAAGGGGGGACTGTCTTTGTAGTGAATAGCAAATGTTTTCCCCTAAAATAAACACTGTAAAATCTGATGTAACACCAGTGCAGCATTAGCCTTGCTGCATTCTGTGTAGTTGCAGAGGTTTAAACACACTTCTCTTTCTCTCAAATCTGAGATATCATATCTAAACTATTAAATCTAATACCGTGATTGCCATTTTTCCTTAGATTTATTGCTCTTTAAGCTCTTTCTTCAACTCCTCTGCCTCTTTGTCTTCCCCATCTTGTGTTCACACTCCCTCTATTCTTCCTTCTACACCTCTCAGCCTTTCCACTTGCAGAAATATCTATCATTTATATATTGATTCTCACAGATTCAAACCCGTCACTCACTGATGAGATCACTGCATCATCTCTTATCCTTCTCAACTCGATTCTCTCTCTCCGTTCTCTCACAAAAGTCTCTATATCGGCGCTCTTTTCATCTCTGTTCCTCAATTTCATTCTCCCCCTTCACTTTTCTGAGCTAATTCTCTGCCAAATACTGTCTCTTTGCCTCCTCCTGCTACCTTTCTTATCAAGCTTTCACATAATCTAGCACCCTCTGCTGTCAGGTTTTGTTAACATTTCACTCTCTGTGTGATCACTACTTCAGTATATTTTATTTTATTTCCATCCTCTAAGGTTTTTTTTATAGCTTGAGCATATTTTATGTAATTTCACTTCTTTTATTGATATGCTGTTATTTCAGTCTTGTCTTACACAGCAAGAATATTTTAGCAACACAATCAGTAGTTTGTGATCTCACTTTCCACAAAATAATTATTCATTGCAAAGTGCAAACATGTGACCACTTCACCTTTTTCCTACCCCACCCTCTCTCTCTCTCTCTCTCTCTCTCTCTCTCTCTCTCTCTCTCTCTCTCTCTCTCTCCCTCTCTCCCTCTCTCTCTCTCTCTCTGTCTGTCTGCTATTCTTTGCTCTTCCAGGCCAGCATTACCTCGAGTAAGATGATGAATATTTTATGAGCTCATTTGGTACAAATGGCTTTAGTTCTTATCACAGACTTATAAAGGGATTGAAAGCAGTACAAAATACATTATCCAGGTTTGATTACAGCATTATCTGTATAGTGATTGCACACTTTGCACCATTCTTTCATTTTACATGAAGATGAATCTTCATCCCATCAAGCATATTGCCTCAGCTTTTTCAGCACATTATTATCAAGAAAATGAAGATAGGCCTATATTTAGGATTTGTGGTTTAAATATGTTTTTTGAGGCATCTGTACTCAGTAGAGGAATGCATGATGGGGTATTTTTTGCAAGGGTATTTATCCAAGTATTTACTTTGGTTTCATCTTCACTATCATCATCAGCTAAAAACTACTTGGCGTTTCAGACGCTTCGTGTGTCAAATGCAAGCTTTGGCAGCAGAGAAGGCTGCTACCAGTCAGTAAGAAAGATTAATAGTATAGTTGGCCTTGCTACCTGTCCTCATTTACAGATTTTTCATAAATTACCTAATTTGCCTGTGACAACATCTTAAACGCTTTGACAGCCAACTGAGGTTTAAAATCAATGTTTAGATCAATGCACTGTCTGGTCTAAAAATGTGACCATCATTTACTGCATGTCAAACTTCAGGTTGAAATCCAAGTTTCAGGTTTATTTGAGATCTTAATATACACACTGGAGTAAGAGTAAGTTCAGCAGGTTTCCAGACTTGTCTCTCCATTTTCCATCTGAATATTTTATGGGAAACACAATGCAGGAAGCATAAATATCAGTGCCCTGAATCATGTACAAATTGCAAGAGCGTGCAGACCTATTTATTAGCTATACAAACTGTTCATTTTAAGAATATGTCAAAAAGCCAGGGAGTCTGTTGCCTTTATGGATTTAACTAGACACAATAGTAGGTGGAGCTGAGTAGTGTTCATGTCGTTATGGGGGAAGAGTAAGGTGGAATTTCATTTCTTGTAGTATGGTCATAGAAGACTTTTTCTAAATATCAAACCTAAAGTTCAAATGTCTCCTCTGTCATACTAAATGTGTTGCTTTGTTGTTATAGGAACAACAAAACTAAAATAAATAAACCAGTTTGGATGTTTTATGCCTTTGAATCTGTTCTGCTGTGTTCAACAGTACCCCCCCTCAATCTTTAGAAGGATCCTCTTTTTCTCGCTTCAGTTTTAATGGAATCTATAAACATTGAAACAGCGAGTGGAGTTATGTATTCTGTGCTCTCTACAAAGGCTGGTCAGATTTTATGGCCTCTGCTATAGTGCTTGATAAAAGATACTGAAACTAGAGATTGTGTGTGTCTTTCTCTGAAATTATTAGAATAGTTATTACCGTAACAAAAAAAAAAATTCACCATGATTAAGGTTTACATTCTATGACAAAAGTCAAGTGAAAATTTTCACAACATGAAATTAAACGTATTATGAATTCTTACATAAACGATATATAATGACACTGACTGTGCCCCAGGCCAGCCTTGTGTACTCTACTGGAGCAACATGCTTCAGAGATGAAGAGAATAAGAATAAAAAAAGAATAAAAGGCTGTTAGGATGAATTTAATTGATACTTTCTTGAATAAAAAATATGAATAAAATCTATTAGACAAAAAAGCTGTCTTATTCTCACTCTGAAATCAGTAGAAGTTCTAACAACTGCTTATTAGTCTCAAAAAGCGATATTTGAAGTACACAGCACTGTATTTCCTACAGATATATAAATGTAAGTAAAGGAAAATTAGAAACCATCCAGACTTACTTGAAGACAATAATACATTTTCTCAAAGTATATTCTTCTCAAAGACAAACCAATGCATTAAAGCTTTCTATTTTGTGGAAATGCAAAAAAAAAAGAGCTCTTACTATCTTCTCTATACACTTGACTGCACATTTGTTTTTGTCTCTCCTGTCTTGTAGCGTACTTTCAAATACAGAAGCAAGAGCATCTGAAATTCCCTACAGTGATATTAGATGATTATTGGCCTCTTCTCTGGTGTTTTCCTCTTTCTGAGGAGTTCTCAGAGGACGAGAGAGCGAGAACAGTTGAGGCAAGAAGCTGCCTCCATACTAATGAGCTGTTGAAGGCTGTTCTCAAAACTGGCTCCTCCAGACAAGCTGGCCTCATTAACACGTGGCATCAAAATCCTTCAGACGGAAGATGCATCAAGATAGAGACAAGACTGTGCTCCCAGCAAACAGAACTAATAAGGATTGGAAAATTGATTGGAAGTATTTACTCATTTCATAAGCTAGGCACAGTTTTATCTGTATTGGCATATTTGTTACCTTTGGTAAATATGTCGCATATTTTTGGTAATTAAAAGTAGCATTGCACACCAGACCAATCAGTTCTCTCAGCCGATGGTACTTGTTTTTGTTTTCCTGGGTAATTCTGAATAAAAAGCAACAAACAGTTGCAATATGCATATAACAACACAATAAGTAACTACTCTTTGTTGATTCAAATGGATCTCACATATGTGTCATCACTTTGGCTGTGGCACTTTTTAAAGAGCACCATAATTCTTAACGTTTCATGTCTGCTTCTGTAGGAAAAAACAAAACAAAAAAACGTGGTCAGAATTCCAAAGTTTTCTTCCTGCAGTATCTCTCTGCAGTATCTGCCTGTCTGTCTTCGGGTTGTCCGTCCCATACGTCCCATACTTGTGAACATGATATCTCAGGAAGGCCTTGAAGGAATTTCTTCAGATTTGGCTCAAACATTCACTTGGACTCAAGGGTGAACTGATCAGAATTTGGTGGTCAAAGGTCAAGGTCACTGTGACATTTTTTTGTCCATAACTCAAGAATTCATATGCTAATTATGAAAAAACATTCACACAAATGTCTAACAGGATAAAATGATGAATAATGACTTTTTATAACCCGAAGGTCAAATGTCAGCTTCACAGGGATATCATAATGTCAGCACTACAACTTGGGAACAGAAGGGGAGATTGTGATTGTGTATTCCACAGTTTGTAGGACACTGAACTAGTGATACTTTCGACTACAAGGTCAAAGGTCATTGTGACCTCAAAAGAGGTTTTTAATTGTAATTAAATAATTAATTGGGCGATTGCAGATTTCCCACACATGTTGACAGTAACCACACAGTGAGTAAACAATAACTAATACAGTAAAGGCTTTCATATTTCCATCTCATCCATTCTGCCTTTGACTTACAGCCTCACATACTGAATCATGTGACTGCAAACAACATATTGGAGTGTGCCTAGCTAATGCTGACCCTGTGAGTGAGTGAGTTTCCCCTACAGCTCACAGAGAGCTGTTGCATCCAAAAGTTCCAGTGGAAAAAAAGCACTTCATTTTGTTAAGCTATATTCTTCAAGAATCCATCTTTACATAGTAATCAATTACATGTGTAATGTATGTTCAGTTGAATCATACATATGTATCCTCAATATAGTGATAAGTTCCGCTCTGCAAAAAAATACACTTTTCAGTATACGGTTTTATTCAGTTCCTTCAACTGTTATTTGTTATTCACCACATACATTATATGAGTCTGGACGAACGTGGATGTAAACTGCAACTTGAGTGGTTGGCAGAGGCATACAACCCTGGGGCAGTAATTCTAGTTCTGTGTACCTTTCTGTCTGTTTTATTGATTAGAGCTGTACATCCGGATTGTCTGAGGTTATACAGTCTATCCACCAGTGATCTGTATTCACACAACTGGCTGCTTATTCTATTGACTTTTAACTCAAGAGTGCATAGATGGTTGTATATGAATGGCCATCTTTACTCTGGTATGTTTATGGTCTTACAGCAACAGCAGCAGTCAAGGTTGGTTTTTCCTTTTAGCATTTGTCTGGTGCTGCTAATGTTTAAAAAAAAAAATGAGGCACTTAAAGGGCTCAGGTCTTTATTGATCAAAGCCAAGAAGTCTGTCTTGAAAGTGTGTCTGTTTGTCTGACTGCACGTCTCTATGGGAGGGAGCTATCAGTCTGCATTGTCAGCATCAATAAGAAAGGAAAGTGGAGGATAATGAAAGAGGAAATTGATGAAAATGGTGAGAAACCACTGGAAAAAAAAAAAGAGAGGATCAGTGATCAAAGAGAGTTGAGGAGGCGAGACAGATTGAATGTAAATCTCTGGGGCTTCCCTACTGGTGGTTATAGAATCATCACATTTTCTCATTAGGAGAGAACACATCGCATGTCCAGTGTTCACACCTAATTAAAATAAGGTTTTGATGATTTGACATTTAGGAGACTACATGACACAGATTCAACACATTTTGGGGTGCAAATCCAGTTCATATCTTCACTCACTGTCACTGAACTGTGCAGCATGTGATCTAATACAGCAGAAAGGCTGAAATAAATAAATAAAATTACAGGTTTTCCAGTGAACATTTGATTTAAAATGGCTGTGAGTTTGCCATTGAGTAATTTAAAACATAACACTATGTGCACTGAAAGAAGTGTATCATGTGTAGAGACAGTTTTTTATTGTAATGTTTGCTTCGTTATACCAGTTCACTTGAGGTCCTTCTGCCAGCATCAGTTCAAAAACCCATTATATATGAGAAATGGCTCCCATCTGGGTGCTTCCTGTATATATGGTGTCTGCTAATTGTGTATTATATTGTTATTGACGTGTATTTGTTTTCAGCATCACAGCTTAAAAGTATTTTCTTCTGCCTCTTTATCTGTCAATATAAGGGCCTTATTTTCAGTCACTGGCTCCTCATAGGGCCATTTGTTTTTTGTGGCCATCGTAACTTCGCCCTCGGGGTTGGAAGTGGAGGGTGAAAGGAGTGAGTTGCAATCTGCAACCACACCGCTGGATGCCACTAAATCCCCTACACACTGGACCTTTAAATAAAATGGCACCCAAATGTCCAAAAGGTCCTTTTTAAGACTGCTCCGAGAAAAACTGCGTACGTCAGTAAAATATTTGATTTTCTAAACATTCCTAACCCCTTCTCTCTCTCCAAAGACAATAAAGTTAAAAGCTGAGGCTCGGTTGGACCTTCTGCGGCAAGTGGGGGTTGCTGTGGATACCTGGCTGAAGAGCGCCATGAACCAGGTGTGTTTATATGTGTGTGTGTGTATGTTTGTGTAAGCCTCGCCCTCTCTTTGCCTGACTTGTTTCATGCAGTGCAAGTGTGAAACAGTGTGCGATATGTGTTTGTGAGTGCATTCATACCTGCAACTCTTGAAGAGTGTGTGTGTGTGTGTGTGTGTTATATTCTTTCACGCATGAACTCCAGTTTGTGTAGTGCAGTATGTGTGTGCCTGTTGGCTAAATGTGTGTAAACCGGCTTCACTCTCTCTGTGCATGGTGTAGGTGATGGAGGAGCTGGAGAATGAACGCTGGGCCAGCTACACTTCCCACGATCCCTCACTGTCGGTGAGACACCTCCCCTCAATGTGCATGCGTTGCTGCTTTCTTGCCAAGCCAGCAGATCTTGTCCTGTTTTCACAAAAACAGAGCATTTATTAATGAAATTTGAAAACATTGGAGGAATTAATGAACAACAAAACCGTAGACATAACATAAACCCTATGCTAATACTTGAATAAGTACAATTCATGCATAAATAGTTTTTGTCAGCAATTTTCAAAGAGTTTTTGACTTGGCAAGAAAGTGCAATTCTCACACATACACCACGCAACTTTTCACCAACATAAGTCGAAGCTGGTTTGTCTTGCATACACGGTGGCCTCTGTTACGCACTTTAAATGAAAACCACCAGACCACTGAACTGTGTCACTGTATATTAGTCATACATCTACTATTGGCTATCTGTCTTCCCAGCAGTTTGTCTTCTTGCACTACACAAACACCTCACTCAATTCCCCTTAAGCAAATTTGAAGTTTGTGATATTAGTCTATATAAATACATTTTGACTTGAGTTGAATTCAGTACACTCAAAAGTGTAATATTAAACTCTTAGAAACTGACTCATAATCATAGACTTTTCATTCTTTATGATTTCATTATAAGTGAAAACCACCCAGCTAGAACAGTTCTCCTGACAAATCACTTCCTGAATGATGTAAATTGCAAGATAATTGACCTCAGCCCTGCTGCCTAATCATCTGTCACGCCAGTTACAGCCTCTTAAAACGCCCCACTTCCCGACTGGAATACTGATGTAGTTTTTATTTTATGACCCTTAGCTTAAATGGCAAGATAGACTGAGTACAGATCTGAAGCCTGAAGGGACGTTTTCTATCACTTCATAGTGTTTATGATTGTGTGTACGTACTGTATCAGGGGAGAGGAGGCAGTAGTAAGTTGTCGTTTTTCTTACCCAATCCACCAAAAACAAATGTCTCTGTACACTAAATTTGGGAGTTGGTTAGTTTAGCTTTGCATAAAGACTGGAAACAAAGGGAAACAGCTAGCTCACTCCATGCAAAGGTAAAAGTTGATCCTTTTCTTCAAATTTAATTTGATAAACTGACATGCCGCACTTAATTCATTCTTTGATTATGCACAATCAATAATGCAGCCTAATGTGCTTTGTCCTTGTGTGTGTAGGTGTGTGTGGGACTGGATTGATGTGCATTTATGTTTGTGCATTTGTGTGTGCGTTTCTGTGTCTCCATTGGGTACACAGGGAGGAAAGTGTACGTACATGACTGGGAGTGTAATCCCACACGGGACTTTGTGGGGAGGCGTAGTGTGTGTGTGTGTCTGTCAGCAGGACTAAACATAGTCGTCCTGCTCCATTGGAAGCACTTGACACTCTGCTCACATGATATTGCAGCTCGCAGCTAACACCAGAGAGAGAGAGAGTAGCTGAGTGTGAGAAAGGGAAAGAAAGTCTGGAGAATGAGGGGGAGAGCAATCTCGGAAGAGATATATGGAGAGAAAAGAAGGGATGATACAAGGAGTTGCGCAGTGAAAGAGGGAGTGTTTCAAGAGACAATTACTGAAGAATGAGAGAAGCAGGAGAGAGAGTCAGCTGAGAAAAAGAAGAGATGGTGTGATGTGGAGGAGAGGGTGAGGGGGAGAGGTGAGGAGGGAGTGGCGTCAGAGTGATAATGTTGAAGTAAAATTGGATGCAGAGGTGAGAGAGACGGAGGGATTGTGAAAAAAGTGCAGAGAACATAGATGAATATACTGTAAGGCCACAGTATACAATATTTCATATTCACAAACAAAATGGTGACCAAAACAAAAAAACTGTGTTTACACAGCTGACACATTTACATTTCCAGATACTTTATTAGCTACACGTAGTTAGTTGGCAGTGTCGTGTGTCCTTTGGGCATGCATTTTTTACTTTAACTTTAACTTTTCTTTCAACTTTTATCTTCCCTTATTTATTAAATAAATCCGATTGAGGCTAGACTTGATGAAAACTCCTCCATCTGGCGTGGGTGTCATTAAAAGAACAGCCCAGGAGGCACATTGCGTGTTCAGGAATTTGACAGCAGTTCAACAGCCTTTTATTTTATTTGTGTACTGTAGCCTTAAGAGACTGACAGTGGGGGAAAAAAAAAGGGGGGGGTTATAATAACAAGGTGCAACAAAGAAAATGAGGGAGGGAAGGAAGAGGGAGAGGAAAAGTAAGGAGGGATTGTTCACAGCAGCTTGCTGATTAGGGAGAGGTTAAGAGGTGGCTGATGGTCAGAGAGAGAAGAGAGGATGGATGGATTGTGAATAATAATCTGCAGAGGAGGACAATGAGAGCGGGGAGTGGGCACTTCATTCAGCCCTTTCTTCATTCCACTCAACTTTATTATTTCGACTATGAAATACTGTAGGCCATCAACCTTCAAGTCCCTCAGGCTGCCATTGCCTTCATTACAATATCACTTTCACAGTTATTACCTCCAGGACCAATAAAATCGGCCCTTGGTCTGCCTCTCAGCTGTATGGTTAGAACACACACTCAGATGTATTTTTGGTGATATTTTATTGGGTTATTACTGAAATACATGCTGGTCATTTTACTTTGGGGATGAAATGGAATTGGCCCTGAGGCAGTGCAGTGTACTTTTAAATCAATGCAGTAAAGTGGATCAGACTGACGTAACACAACAAACATGCAGCCAACAAAAATGTGGAACTGGACATCAAGTTGTTCTCCATCACACTGAATCTATCTTTCCATTCAGTTATATAATCCATGGCTGTGTTCAAAATCAATCTCTATCTACAATATAAGTACTGTCCTTGCACAGGCAGTACTGGAAAAGGATCTGTTACGTTTAGAGCAATTAATTAACGCTAATTTAACTGTGCAGCAGTACATTACATTTACATTACATATTACGCTTATGTTTGTAAAGTTGATATATGTTTCTTGATTTTCCAAGAAACACAAAGGCATGTAGTGTATGCAGTTGTAAGGGTCTTTAGTAACCATTCTTCGACAGAAGTGTTTAAATCTTTAAAAGGCAACACCTTAGGACCACACCTGAAGGTTATGACTTCCCTAGAGAATAGATTCTTATTTCTAGGAGACCAACTTGGGATATCCACTCATATACAAAACACACATCTGTTTTGTTCTGTGCTGGTGTAGAGTTTACTGTGTCAACAGAAATCTGATGACTAAACACAATGACTTAGGAATGGATAAACACACACACACACACACACACACACACACACACACACACACACACACACACACACACACTGTATTGTTATGGCCAGCTCAGCTTGCTGTGTGTGATGGATCTTTCTACCACCTAGATCACATGACGTTCATATAAGCCAGTGAAATTCTCATGGAACAAAAGAGGGAGGGGCTGGATCATATGAAACATTAGTCCCTCTACACCTGTCTCTAAAAGCTATTGTACCCACACTGAGCAGGACTGAGAAACTCAGGCAGGAAGAAAAGGTAAGCATTGCTATTGATTAAATTGTGACACTAGCACAGGAACAAGTGAAAGTCGGACTTTGTTAAATGGACAGAGGCTGCAACTGGTGACAAATGCACTGGAGGTGGTGGAAGTAGAAGTTGGGATAATAACACAGCAAGAATGTAAAAGGCAGAGGTAGTAAAGAACAAGGTCAATGGGAGAGAAAAAAAAGTGAAGTAGCTGTAGGTAGCAGCCCACACAGGCCAGAGCTAGAAGGTTGAATTTTGGGTATTTTGTATGTCGTGTGGCACCATATGTTCAATATATGATTGTATGTGGTCTGGAGTACAAGAGTGTTTTCCCTGTGGAGCTTCAGAGGTGAATGGGGCTTTTCTTATTTGTCCTTGTAGTTATCAGACCTTTTGACTTTATCTGGCTGTATTTGTGTGTTTAAGGGCACAGTGGACTTGGACCGTGAGGAGGGAGAAGAGTGTGAAGAGAATATGGAGGTTTTTGACGACAGCAGCTCTAGTCCTTCAGGAACCCTCCGAAACTATCCTCTAACCTGCAAAGTCCTGTACTCGTATAAGGTAAAACACTAACACACACACACACACACACACACACACACAATTGAGTGAGCAGTTACATGGTTATGACATATCAAATGTCTGCAGCTACCTGGTCAACCACAGCAAACATGGATGTTAGACGTTAGAAGTTCAGTTTTGCATTTATAGTGTTAAATGCTAATGAATCTGCCATTAATAACCATGACTTTTTAATTTCAGAATGTTATTCATTCATTAATTTAAATTAATAATGATGGGCTCTGTCTAGTGTGGAGTATTTTTACTATGATATATGAATGTCTTGTCTACAAAAAAAAGAAATCAGAGCAACTAAAAAACAAGAATGTTATGGCTACATTGACGAGAGTAGAGTTGTTTCTCTCTCCCTCTGCCTTTCTTTTTATTTGTTAACCCCTTTTTCTTTCTTATTCTCTCTTCCCCTTTCTCTTTGTCTTTATCCATAACACTGTTGGTGTGTCTCTCCCGCAGGCCTCTCAACCGGATGAGTTAACTATTGATGAACAGGAGATGTTGGAAGTTATTGAGGATGGAGACATGGAGGACTGGGTCAAGGTGCACAAATACACACTAATACACATATCAACACCAGAGGCATTATCTCCTCATGAGTTGATAACAGTCTAATTTGGTTTCACAGCCTTGTATCGGTTCTTGGCATTCAATTTCCCCCTGTCTATGTAACGTGACATGTGTTCATGTTGCCTTTGTTAATGCACTTCATTGTATGTGTGTGTGTTTTTACCAGGCTCGCAATAAGACAGGTCAAGTGGGCTACGTCCCAGAGAAATACCTGCAGTTCCCGACCTCCAACAGTCTGCTGAGCATGCTCCAGTCTCTTGCTACACTCGATGCACGATCACACACCTCGTCTAACTCCACCGAGCCAGAGCTGCACTCAAACTGCATCAACGGAGACACAAACAGTAAGTACGCTGTAAACCAAGCAAGTGGTAAATTATTTTTTGAAATAATTAAACTGCCGTGCCAGGAGTTTTAGTAAAACAAGCTAGTTCCAGTTGTACCAGTGTAAATGAGTTTTTTTCCCTCCCATAATGAGGTTATTATGTGCCACTGATTAAGGCATTTTTCTCTTTACTGCTCCACTGGAGTTGCTCAGAATCCAGCTGTAAACAACACTCATTTTGCAAAGCAGGGTGTTATTAGAATAAGCAAGTGTGGGTTGTGTAACTCGCTGAGTAACAGAAGATAAAAATATTTCTGTGGTTGCTGTAATGAACAGAGGCAAAGCCTGAAGGATGTATGAGCCACTGTTAACTTAAAACAGTGCTCAGTGTCTAGTCTTTCTCTATGTCCGATTCCACAAGCTTTGTCCCTCCTGATTTCCTCTTCATCCATATATATTGAGCCATTGTTTTTTCCACATCCATTATTAAAGGGCAAACATTTGGAGCTGCCCTCTAGTGCCTCACTGGAACAGAAACTGTGATACACTGTGTTTCCGATACCTTTCTATTAGAACCAGCAGTAACTTTTTCAGCCATTTGAACTACAGTAGCTCGTCTGTTGGATTGAACCACACAGGCTTTCCTTCCTTGGGCCACTTGTGATAGTTACTGACCACTGCAGACCGAGAACACCCACAAGAGCTGCAGGTTTGGTGATGCTCTGATCCAGTCGTCACAATTTGGCCCTTGTCCTTGTCAAGTCGCTCAAATCCTCACGCTGCCCATTTTTCCTGCTTCTAACACATCAACTTGAGGACAAAATGTTCACTTGCTGCCTAGAGTATCCCACCCACTGACAGGTGCCATGATAACCAGATAATCAGTGTTATTCACGTCACCTGTCAGTGCTCATAATGTAATGTTATCGGTGTATGTCCACTGTACACCACAAGAAGGGGAAAAAATCTCAAGAAAGCAACGCTAGATTATTCCGTCCTAACGTTCCTTCTTTGCAACATTTTTCTTCTACTCTCTCTTTCTAATGATATGTGTCTGCTCTACCTGAATACTAATAGACCAGGCACATGGGGCAATTCTGACACCTAATTATTATTACACATTACGCCTTTCTGTTTTTACTGTATCTCCCTCTCTCCAGCAGTGCATACCATTCTCTTTATGACAATGAGCGCCAGGCCGACAAGGAACTACATTTCCCCAAGAATAATTATTCATTCTGTGGATCTCTTATTGCTTTCTTTCTCTCTCTTTGTCTTGCTTCCGCTCTGCAGTGATGTATGTCCGCGCACTTTATGATTATGAAGGCCAGGCGGATGAGGAACTCTCCTTTTCCGAGGGAGCGGTGATCCGCCTGCTGAGTCGCGACACCCAGACAGACGACGGATTCTGGGAGGGGGAGCTCAACGGACGGGTGGGCGTCTTCCCCTCCGTCCTGGTAGAAGATTTCACTGAGAATGGGGAATCCAGTGGAGGAGGGACAGGTGACATACAGGTATGGCTTACAGTAAGTCTCACAGATAACTTACATTTTAAGTTAGGGGTGACACAAGCGATCTTAGACAAATAACAACATTCGTTTATTAACTTTGTGGGGAAACACAGAAAAGAAGATTGAGAATGGAGACATTTCACTCAAGAGGAGCTGAATATTTTGGTCTTATCAGTATTTCCTCAGGACAGAAATACCAAGGGTAGTGTGTAGTCTACTGTGCCACTTTCCCCCCCTCCTCCCTTCCTGGCTGTTGTTCAGCAGATCCATCAGCAGGACAGAGTTCACAAACAGTGGATCAGAACTGCCGTGTTCCTGCAGCGCGCTGCAATCACAGAAACAGGTCTTATCTGTGGCAGAGAGTGCTGCTCTATTAGAGGTTCAGCAACAGGAAGGATACAGCCTCTCCCTTCCTATACGTCTGTAGACATAATACACACCACAGCAACACTTAACGTCTTTTAAGTCATGTGGGGAAGATTGGTAAAAAAAATCAGAATCCCCCTGGTTGCTGTCACGGAAACAGTCAAGTTGTAACAGTCAAAGTTGTAAACCAGCGATATGTCTGTGAAGCATTCCTGACAGTATTCCTACTGTTCTGCTAAACACTTTAAACCTAAAGCTGCTTCAATCAATGTTTTTACATGAACAATGGATGAAATGACTGTAATGTGAAATGTGAAGTCGTTGCTCATGGGCCTACAGAGAGTTATCACCCAACTCTGCAGTTCCCTTCCAGCTTGTCTGTCTGTCTCAGCCAACACAGTTAGCATCTGTAAATTTGTTGTTTTGGTTTAACAGCCTGCAACCTAACCTGTTACTTACTTTCAGCTGCAGCAGGCAGCTGTTTCAGGTGAAAAGCCCTCTGTACACTACCTGCTCAGCACTAAGCAGACAGCAGGCAGACACAGTTAGTAACTTGTTGGGGAACATGGTGGATCATTTAGAAGCTAAAGAGCCAGATATTTCCCTTGGAGAGTGAACGGAGAGTGAATATTAGACTTACGTTCAGCAGATGGTCAGAAACACGACTCCAAATTAATACTAATGTCATTCTGTGTTTGCTTGATGTGTAACTAAGTAACTGTATAAGATGATAATATATAAGATGATATATAATATAATTATAGATTGTGCGATTGACACAAAAATATAGGTTTAAGGCTTTATAGATTAGCGCTAATTATAGTTAACCCTTTACTGCATCTCATCTCTTCTCCTACAGACATATGCATGCATATTGTTTATGTTGGTTTCTTTCTTGTGTACTCACTCTGTTTTCTGGAATAGTACCAGTTTTTAACCGGTTAACAACAAGGAAGTAACTCCAGTTCCTCGTAAGACCACTTGAGGCTGGCTGAGGAAGTCCCTATCCATAAGGAGGGGTACATTTTTATATAACTCACCCATTTAAATTATTATTGAGGGTCGTGGTGGTGGGTGGGTGCCATCACAGGCGTCTGAGTTCGGTAACAAGGCTTCATTCAGCTCCACCCTTGCTCTTATGTATTTGCTTGTTTTTGGGTTAGCCAGGAGCCGAGTCAAGACTGCCAAGAAGGCTTGTCAGACACCTATAGGTGACGTCACGGAGACTACCGTCAGGCCAAGGTTCAGTGAACATTTGGGCCTGTAATTCATTTCTTTTCTTCTAACTTTTCACTTATAATGTTTGTGTTCCTTGGGTCGAATTATAGTCTGGTCAGTTTCAGCCTGTGAATTTGTCATATTTTAGTATATTTTCAAAAACACAATTTTACACTTTGGACGCCTTTCTTATGTCTATATTCCAAACTGTTCAGCTCTGACTCAGTGTAGTTGACTTCAGTTAGATGATGGTCAGTCAGTATAATCAGTTGTGTTGTGATAAAGAGTACAGGACTTATTATTCCAGGATCACAAGTGAGCAGCACATTTTCAGTGATGTATTTCTCTATTTCTGTCCCTCTCTCTAGATTTCTCCATCGCTCAAGTTGCCATCTTCTCTGCCACCTCTTCCACTGTATGACCAGCCTCCCATCAGCCCTTTCACCAGCCCTGAGACCTCCACCCCGCCTCCTCTCCCACGCTCACCCTCCACCGCACTCAACGGAGAGCACAAGCCTCCACCGCCCGCCTCGTCACACAAGGGACCGCTATCCACCCACAGTAAGCCACGCGCACACACACACACACACACACACACACACACACACAAACACACAGAAAAAGTTTGTATGTAATTGAGTTAATTGAGAGGAGGTCATTGTGGCTTTTTACTGCGCGTTTATAGAAATCTATCTCTCTCTCTCTGTAGATCAAAGCTCTGGCAGGAGTCCAGTGTCTCCAGGATTTCCGCAGCCACTGAGATTCACCCCTGAAGGAGGCCCGGGAAAACTACGACCTGTTAGTATAATAGTTATTCAAGAAGTGTGCAAGATGTTTTTTACAAAGCAAAGTCATCATAATATTCTGATATGAAATTAGAGCCAAAGTTGAAGTTGTCTGATTAAGCAGTTAGGCTTTTGTCTAAGATTGTGGTGGTGGTGGTTGTTCTCAGTGCAGTGTTTTGTCTAGTAGATTTTAAAGTGGATTACTAATATTAATTGGCTTCTATTTTAATAACTATTACCCGTTTAAAGCAGTTTTCAAGCAAAAACGAACAGTCCCTATTTGGACTGATGAGCTGATGAAATTGCATTATTTACATTTTATAGACAAACAGAATCAATCAATAAGTTGATAGTCGTTAGTTGCAGCCCTACATAACGCAGACTTTAACACAAACCTTTATGGCACGTGGTTCTCTCTGCCTTCCTTGTTTTGTTAAATGTAAATGTTTGTGTTGATTAGACTGTATAGCCTGTGAATCCCAGTTATTTTCATTCCTGTGTTTATTTAAAAACAGGCTCTAAAAGAAGAGACTAAATATACTTTTTGGAGATAAAAGGTTTGTGTCCCCCAGTAGGAAATGAACATTATGCTGTTTGTCAAGTGAGAAAAAGTAGGGCATCTCTGTTATTGCCTTGACAATAGTTTCCCTCCCTTTTTTTTGTGCCTTTTTTCTTGAACTTACATTTATTATGTTCTCTTGCAGGTTCGAGCTGCTCCTCCTCCACCCAAACAGCACCCCCGCCGACAACAGGAGAAGAGCGACAAGACGGAGGAGGTGGAGATCACGCTGGTGTGACAGACAGACAAGCTGGCGGGCGGTTATAGAGACATACAAAATAAAAACAGATGACAGACATGCATATCCTACAGGCTGGGGAACTGAAGTCAGCTTAAATAAAGTGATGTGAAGTAAACTGAACTGAACCACGTCCGACGCCCCTGGCCTCTCCACGTCTTCTCTCCTCCTCAAGTTGAGGAGGAGAGCAGAGGGAGGGGATGAAGTCAGAGTATCCAATTAAATAATCTCCGTATTAGCTTCCTAATGAAGTGCAGCAGTAGCCGCCCCCCCCACGTCCCTCTCCGTCCTTCCCCGTCCTTCCATTCTTGCCTTAAAACTTCACCTCAACGGGCAGCAAACCCGAGCACACTGAAGAAGAGGAAGAGGAGGAAGAATGTTTAGAGAGGGGGAGTGTGAGGGAAAGTTTGCAAGTTTCCTTTTATCTTGTTAAGCTTACTTCAAGATACTGTACGGTAGTGTATCTCTCTGCGCAAGACCATTCTGCTACATCTGAGAACTTTTTTCACTCACTTACGAACAAATAATGAAACGTGTGAAAAGTTATTGAGCCCTGAAACAAACGTAATGTAGTAAAGGCTTATAAGACAAGTCAAAAATATAACTAAATACATAATAATATTGTTTAAAAAAGAAATGTTATGGTTTATACCTATACATTTAATCATTTATTTATTTTCCCCATGCAACATTTCCTTTTCTTCTTGAGGAAGGCTGTGTGGCTAGCTAATCTGAAAACACTGTTAGCAAAACACACCGAGCACCAGCTAGCTAGCTGAAGCAAACCATAAAACTACAACAGCTACACTACTGTTGTGTTAATCCTCCAGATACCGTACTGCATACTGCTGTAGCGTCACTGTATAAACTACTCGGCAAGCTAACGCTAACTAAGCTAGATAGCTAGAAATTTTGAAATTAGGTTATTTTATATTTTTGGACATTCAGTCACACACTACTTAATGTACAAAATGACACAATAAAGTCAAAGGCTCATTTATTATTTAAATTAATATCGAGGCATGTCTCTTAAGTGTGTGAACTTCCAAGTAGCGCAGTAGCGTAGCAAATAGCTTGCTGACTAAAAGGCTTTAGCTGCCATTACAAGATGTTTATACGTGAATGCTAGAGCAGTATTTAGTACGGTGTGTTGCTGAACAACTTTGGGTGCTGTGTAGTTTTATGCCAAAAGTCAGCTTCTGCTTTGTAGCTAGCAAAAAAAAGGCTTATGCTCAGTGTGTGTCATTAGTGTTTTCAGGTAAGCTAGCCCTATGTGGTAAGCAAAGTAAGGAGTAGATACAGGATTTTAAAATGTGTGCATATAAAAATGAGTTGAAGAATGAAATGAGCTAGTGAAAGCTCTTTAGTTTCGATGTATTTATTATTTTTGACTCATCTGATACCTTTTACTCTAACGTGAGTGTCATACAAAGTAAGCTTGATGAGAGCGAATAAGTCTAAAACTTGCCAAACGTGTCATGATTCGGATTGGAAATTGGGGTTTAAGTAAATGGGCAGAGAAACTGGGTGGTGTGTGGACGCAGTGTCCCCCCTCGCCAACCCTCCCCTCGCCATATATAGTCCTTATCATCATACGTATTCAATGTGTATTAGTACAGTACATTACTGTTGTCATAGGAATGTTATGCACAGCGTTTCATATAGACTAATTCAGCTGAATGGAATACCATGTCTGATATGTAGTGGAAGTTTTATCCTCATCTTATACTGAAAGGGCATTGTAAATACAGTATGAAGGAGAGATGAAAGAGGAGAGGGAAGAAGAGGATGAAAGGACAAGAGAGAAAAAGGAGGCTGGATCCTCCCTTCTGTTCTTTCCTCCGCCTCTTGCCACCCTTCCTTTCTTTCTCTCCCTTTTATCTCTAATGTCTGTTCTGTCCATTGGCAGTCAGTGTGAATCGGTGGCTATCATATACACATCTACATTATATTACGCACACATTGCTATATCTTTCTCTCATTCTGTGACCCTCCGTGCGCTTGCATCACTGATTGGTTCAAGAAGAAGCCGGTGGTGCTTTTCAAAGGAACTGAAATTGTTGGTATTCACTATGTGGTAACAAAGAGAAGTTTTATTTGAACTCATGTAGACACTGATCATATTTGGGGGTCAGGAGTTTTTATTAATCACAGATGGAACTGTATAGCTTGTATCCCAACAGATCATATCTCCTCTCACATTGATTTTGCTCGCCTATAACATATATCCTTGGTTGACATGCATTACATTCGCTGGGTATTGTTTTGTCCCTGTTGTCTTCTCGAGCAACTCCATCACATCACCATGCGAGTATGTTTTTTTATTTTATTTTAATACAGCACAGAAAACATCCAGAAAACCAAACCTTCAACATTTCCAGTTTGATATCATCCTTTTGTTTTCCTCCCATCTTGCATTTCAACTATGATTAATGGTGGTAGAGACAGAAGAGAGGAATAAAACAGTTGCATCATGCCAAATGGACAGAACTAGCAAATGACATTCAAATGGAGCTAAGTACAATTCTTTTGTGTTTTTTTTACTCAAAGTAAATAAATCTTCCCCCCTTAAATACCCTTCAAGCCTTTAAAACTCCTTGCCTAAAGGGCAGCGTAGCACTTTTATTTATTTGTACCTTCCCTGGAAAGTAGCAGTACCTTAACATAACATCAGAATGGATAGAAAAGACTCTGGTGAATCACTGCAGTTCAATACAGAAATCAGAGTTATTCTTTTCTTTCTGGTTCTGTGGTCGATCCTTTTTATTTCAGTGTGACTGAGGATTTTTTGTATTATTATTACTCTCCACTCTTCCAAAGAGATGGAGAGATAATTGTGGACAATGTAATTTGGTGTTTTCCTTAACTTATAAATACAAAAAAACCAAAAAAACGTGATTATAGAAAGGGATGTTTTGAATGAAGACTTGTAGAGAATGTGTGTGTGTGTGTGTTTTTGGTCCTGCGATAGGCCTGGCTGTTTGCTTGTGTGATTGTTTTAAGGAGAGAGGAGGACTTTTGATCAGGTTTGATGTAAAGATGTGTCCCACTTCCTGCCTACATATTTATGTCACCCAGGGTTTGCTTTCCTAGAGCGTTCACACTGAAGACATTTTGAAATAAAACTCACCGTCAGTGTGGATATGAAATTCTATTGATTCTTTGTGTGGTGTTGACGGACAATATTGTCCCAGGATGCAACACATAAGAGGGTGCTCCTTGCAGCTTAAACTAACTGTGCCCTGTTTTAAGACAACTCTAGAAATATTAAAAATAAAGCATTCAGTCTGTGTTTCTTTGTCTTTGGTAAGGATATTATCAGTTGTGCTCCAACGTTGCAGTATTATAGCACATTTTATATTGGTGCACAACTGTAAAGTATGTTCATTTATTGTATATTAACAGCAAAAACAGTATAAAGTATGAAGATTGGTATAAAGTGCATACTGTGTAGTATTAGTATGTAGTCTGGAATGGGGCACAGCTTTAGGATTCGTGTTAGAAGAGAAAGAAAGTCCTGATCTGGGCTCCAGTTGATGGGTTTCCTCTTTGCAAGGTGGAGTTGAATTATGTCGATTGAGAAAAAGTGATGCAAGAGATGAAGAAATACTAATACCTTTGTTTTCTTTTTGCATTAGCTTTTGTGTAGCATTCACACCTAACAATGTTGAGTATGCTGGAATAGGTTACAGATTCAGATCCCAACCTCTGCTCCTCTGCTGTTGTAGCATCATCTTCAACAGCAGCCTCTCCTTGACCTCACTCGGATTTTTATTTATAGAGGTTTTCAAACTTGTTTTGAAGTTTATGGTTTACAGAAGCATCCCACAGAACTTCCCACCATAAATGCTCAATCAGTCTCAATCTGTCAAATACAAGATTTATGGCTTTTTGTTGCCAGTTGCCAGTTTGAACAAGATTATTCTCCCTTTCTGACAGTCCCTTTGGTCCGCTACAGTGTTTAATTATTTGATACGGGCCTGTTTTTGGATTTTATGTATTATATAATTCTTTAATTTTTCATCCTTCAATTTGGCACAGCTGCACAGCTGCTGCTATTAACAATGTGGTGGAACAACTAGCCTTCTCTCTCTTCAAAGACTGTTGCCATGGTGACAGTAATGAGAACAGGTGCAAAAGTCTTTCTGCATATTATTATTGGCTGTACAAAAAACAAAGTTTGTATTTATTGTGTACAAATGTTAATTAATAAAAAAATATTGAAAAGTGTTTTTTTGTTTCTGTTATTCTGCTTTCTTGTGTGTTTCTGTTGATGTGTTCGTGTGTGTGTGTGTGTGTGTGTGTGTGTGTGTGTGTGTGTGTGTGTGGATCTGCTCTAATTGTGTTTGTGTGTGTGTGTGTGTGTTGTGTAGACGTTTCACTCAGTAGAAGTGGGTGTGATCACGATGACACACTCTATAAACACCCGAGGTCAGAATTTCCTGAGTGGATCAGGAGGGAAAAGACTAACAACAGTGCAGAGGAGAAGCATTGATGTTCATACCAAAAGTTTTCTTCCCTTACTTTTCTTTATTTTAGCCGTAGTTATTTATTTAAATTGTGCTCCAGAGGAAAACAAATGGACTGGTCTCCTTCAAAGTCCACCCACAGCTCATCCTGTGTGAAACTCTACCTGTGCTCCAACCCAGAGGGTATGTACATGATTCATAATACATACTACCAGCTGAGTTTCCTCAAATTAAAACAAAGTAAATGATGTATTAAAGGTTTATGTGTTCTTTGATCCTGATCTATAAGTTATTTGGTGATTAGAGGTGTTTCATGTTTGTGTTTGTGCTCTGTGTAGATAGTGTCGTGGAGCGCAGAGCTCTGAGAGACACTGTTTTCCCCAAACTTAGAGCGCACTGTCGACACACACTGGGGCTGGATGTCAGGGTGAGTACACGCTTTTCTAAATCCTGCTCACTGCAAAACATGTCAGGGATCATTGTAAGAGTGTGTTGTTACTGCTTTTTTCTTTGATGGTACTAAATGTCTTACATCCTTTCTGACGCTTTAACAGCATAAACATAAACTGACTGGCAGGCAGGATGCAGGCACTGTTGATGCTACATTAAAATTTATGTAATTTCATAACCACTCGCACTATTAATGTCATTTAGGGGGAGGAGGAGCATATTGCTGTAGCTGGAAGAAACATTGGAACTTCCTTTACTTTAAATCTGTGACTTTGTGTGGAATGAAGTTACAAACCATGAAGTTGTTTTTGTTTACAGTGATGCGTCGCTGGTGCCGACATTATTCTCCTAACTTACAAAAATTTGCATCTTTTTCTCAATCGAAAGGGTTTTTTTTCGCAAATGTTCACATAAAATGTTAAATATAAAGGCAAAGCCCAAAATCCATTTACAATATAAGATCAAACTATTCTGAAAAGCTGCCACCCACTTCATTTTCTATCAGTTGACTAGAGGAATAATTGACTCGAACTGTTTAAACATGAATACAGACAGATTCATGCATCATTAAGTCTAGTCTATGTAACATTGCTCCAAGCCAGCAGTGAAAAGCAATATTTCTTGGTAGCCTCCTGTTGTGTGTGTGTCCTTTATTCTTTCACACAATCCCCCTGAGGCCGTTCCTGTAAAAGTGTAGTCAGTTCTACTCAACTTTGCCTAATTAAATTAGGCAAAAAAGAGGATGAGCAGCTGTAATGTGACTCTGTGCGTACAGTGTTAGTTTGTGTGGCAGTTAAACCAGCACATTGTGCCTCTTCTTTTCAGCAGCTTGTGTAATTAGAAAGATGGAAGCATATCATATGTCACTGATCCACCACCAGGCCATTTGTTATTACACCGCACTGTGTGCTTTTCAGTCATCCCCCCTCTAGATTGTTTTAATCATTATGTTGTGTGTGTGTCTGTAGGTGATAGACCCATTTGAGTCCAGTGATCCCAGTTGTTGGCCAGATGAAAACACCAGACAGCAGCTGATTAAAGAATGCAGAGAGAGCTCCACAGGACCGTTTTTACTGGTAAATAAATCACCAGGATTAATTAAGCCATCAGTGTACAGTAGTACAGTGTGCCTTGGGCTCTGCAGGGGCACCATAACCTTTCATTAAAGGTCCAGTAACATTTAGGAGGATCTATTGGACGAAATAGTATATAATAATTCATAGGTATGATTTCATTAGTGTAAAGTCTCCTGAAAATAAGAACTGTTGTGTTTTTATTACCTTAGAATGAGAATATTTATCTACAGAATCATAAATCCTACAAACTAGTCTTTTAAATTGAGGTGGCAAAAGTACAGATACTAAAAATACTCCAGTGAAAGTAGAACTTCTGATTACATTTTGTCTGTTATGTCGTTTTCGTCATGTTATGTCTGTCATGTGTGATATGCATCGTTCTTGACTAGGGGAAGGCATGCAATGATGCAAAATAAATAAATAAACATAAACAAAATTGATAATGCCGTTTAAATGCATTAAAAATGGAGTAACAAGCCTGTTTGGAATGTACAGATATTTGTGTTTAAATGTAGGGGGGGAGGAAAAAGTTTTTGTATTTGTACTTTGTTACTAAATTATAAGAATCACAGAATTTACTGCAGAGCTGTTTGAATTACACGATACAGAAATCCATAAACATTAATACAAGCACTACTGAACAATGCATCCCCATGCTGCTGTTCCTTCTGTGCCCACATGGCGGTGCTGCAGGCCCTGGTAGGACATCAGTATGGCACAGCCAGTCTGCCCGCCCAGGTGGAGGTGTCAGAGTACCAGCTGCTGCTGCAGGAGGGCCAGCAGGTGGGCGTCAGCACCCGGGAGCTGGAGAGAGTGTACCAGAGGGACGAGAACACCATCCCTCCCTCCTACTGCCTGAGACCTGCACACAGACACACCTGCTGTCCTCAGGTGATTGTATTTACTGTCTTCATTCAGATTAAATTGTGATTAAGATTTCCTTATTAAGCAAAGATGAATAGATTTGTCCAAGTGCAGCTGCTAATTAAATAAGTACAAATTATGATCAGTGCCCCTATTGATGGATTAGAGTATGAATAGAAGAGGTCTTTTACAAAATCAAGTTTCCTACAGAAATAAAGCTCCCTTTTAGTATTTTACTGCTACTCTGAATATTTAATAATCTATAATAAGTCTCACAGATCAGATAACATTGTATTTCAATATGTGTGTATGATTAACCTTCAGAATTTGCCTGGATAAATATCTGTAAAGTATCTGTTTTTGTTCAGCAGGCCGAGGTTAAGGAGGAAGAGATGAAGGCTAAAGAAGACGAGCTGAGGAAGGTGTTTCAGACCACTGTGAGTCTGTGTGTCCACGGCGGTCTCATGACCCCAGAGCGAGCCCAGAGCTACTACAGATCAGGTGAGAGATACTGTATGTATGTGTGCATGAGGTTTGAGTGTTGAAGTATAATGTAACGTGTGCTTTACTGCTTCTCTCCAGCCCTCGATGCAGATCTGCGATTTGCTCTGGACAACCGTCCTGATAATGACATCATCAGACGCTGCCTGGTTTACGTCCATAAGGTCATCAATGCAAAAGGAGAGAGAGAGAAGGGAGAGATGGACTCACAACTTCAGCCACAGTCAGAGGTAAGAGAGTTATTTATTTGTTACTATACCACAGACTGAGTGTCATTATATACCATTCTCATTATCATTATCATTATTCTTTCTTCCTTGTTTTATTAGTCAGAAACAAAATCTTTTGTTTTGTTTTCACAGAAGGAGAAAAGATGCACATGTTCATAGCCAGATGTTTACATAAAACATTAAATCACCTCTGTAAACTATTATAATATATATATATTATGTACATCCAGACATCAAGAGTTTTGATTCAGGTGAATGTGATATGAGAAGAACACGAGCCGTGCCTCTGTTAACAAGGGACATTTGCAAAATGGGTGCCTTTTTCCCTTTTTCTTTAAGTTAATCATTAGTTCCTGACACAGAAACCTGATATTTACTTGACACATCTGTCACATATCTATGTTTTATATCCTTTGCCTCTATAAGGACATTTTATGTTTTATAAATGATGCTTTTGTCATATATGTCTTATAATATTAAATACAATTTAAATACGTATTTCCAATGCAGATTGTATATAGGTGTAAAAGAAAAAACGTCATATCCTGTATTTTCAGGCTTCTACCCCCGACCAGAGAACACCCACTGATGGACAATTGTTCTCAGAGCTTTGTGACAACTTCCTCCCTGGTCTCATCACTTCCTCCCAGCTTCTAGTCTACACCACTGCCACAGAGTGTGACCGTCGCCATGGTTACACGACAGCCAGGAGGCGGGGTTATGCCAAGTCTCTGTGCCAGCAGGTGTACTCTGATCTTGTGGGGTTGATTGACAGCTTGGACATCTTAGAAAGCAGTGAAGCCTCTCAGCTCGGTGATGCGTTATCCAGAGAGCAGGCCGAGCAGGAGGAGCTGTGTGACATCATGTCCCGGTTTTATGACATCGTTCGGCCAGAAGAGGAGAAGGTGAGGATGAAGGTGTTTCTCTGGATGATTTCTGAAGACAAAAACATTAAATGTTTCATTTTTAACTGCTTATTAATTCCCTGATATGGTCACTTTTTGTGGTTTGTTTCTGTTAACAGCTGAGGAAGATTAAAAGAAAGTTTGTTGTGTGGCATCAGTAGATAAAAAGATTCAATACTTTTTTCACTCCATGGATACTGACATTCTGATTCCTGATGCCAATAATTTCAGGTACTCCACAGCATCACTACTGTAGTGTTAACTTTTCTTTTGCTGTAGGTCAGAGCCTATGTGGAGCAGAGTGAACAACAGCACCCACTAGTGGTGACAGGAGGACCATGCACAGGGAAAGCAGTTCTGGTGGCACACTGTGCTCAACAGGTCAGTGGACTGAGGTGACATGTAAAACTTTCTGTTATTGTTCTATTAAATTTACATGTGATGTTCTTGTTGTTTTGATATAATCTGTCAATAAAAGTTCACTTTCGTCCCATTTCAACTCCCCTTTTGAGGAAATATTTACAGTTAAGTGGGATGAACACAAATGTACTTCTTCCATTTTTCTTTTTATTAAAAATAGGAGAAAAGAAGTAGAAACACTTGTAAAAAAGAGGAACATTTGTAATTTTTTATCCTTCTTATTAGTGAAACGTATTTGAATAACATATTATTAAGTCCTCATATGACTAAACTTCTCAAGAAGCATTCATAAAAAAGTTCAAAAATACAGAACCAAGAAATAAATGAAATGCGTGCAAACAAGGGCAACGCAATGCCTACAAAACATTTGCATTGTGAGACAGTCAGGAATTTGTACAACATGGATAACGTGTGAGCAAGTGTTCTGTCTTTCTGTCTCCTTCCACAGATAGAGTCTTGGCTGCCTGACTGTGATCCTGTGGTGATCACTTATTTTTGCAACCTGTCAATCAACCCTTCTCCAAAGCACCTGTTGTCGAGCCTGTGTTATCAAATTGCCAGTAGATATCACAATAAACTGTCTTCAGAGCAGAATCCCAGCGACTTGGACGATCCTAGCTGTATCACTAACCTCAGGGACCACAAATCCAACTGTAGCCTGGATCCTCACCCTGAACCCACCACCAGAGAGCCTGTTTCTGATCGTAACCAAGACGATAGTACCGTACCATGCCCAGATCCTTCGGGCATCATAAAACCTGACATTTGTCTGTCTGAGCTTAAAGAACGTCTCTCATCGTTCCTCTCCCTCCTGCCTTCTACCAAACAGCCTCTGGTTCTGATCCTCGATGGCCTGGATCACATCGAGAACAACTTTGGATCTCAAATCATTGAGAGCCTCCCCTCCCCTCTTCCTCCCAATGTCAAACTCATCCTCACAGCCTCCTCCAACCGAACACATGTGCTGCAAGCCATCACGCCACAAGGAAGTCAACCTCAGTGTGTGTCAGAGGGCAGTGAGAAGGAGTATGTGTGTGTACCGCTGGGATTGGTGAACAGGAAACAGTGTGTGAAGATGTTGGCGTCGCTGCTGGACAGTTCAGGGAGGAGGGTGACATCAGGACAACAGGCGCTGGTGAACCAGGCGCTGAATTCTTGTTGCCTGACTCTCTACGCTCGACTCCTGCACCGGCACACCTCACTCTGGCACTCTGGTAGGGCTAATAAAGTAAACACCCAGACAGCTGGGGGCTGTAGTTTTTACCAAATGTTACTTAAACAGGAGTAAATAGTGCAATTGTTGGGGATTATTTCCAGCCACAGATTTTTTGTGCTGGTGCAGAGGTTCTCTAAGTGAATACTACGGTACCCTGCGGTGCCTTGGGGATTTGGCAAGGGTGCTGATGAAGATTTGCTTCAACATTTCATCACATAAAAAACAAGCCGATGTTTGCAGGAACTACATTTTCATATTATGTTGTCAAACACATTTACATTATTGAAAGAATTAAGAAGCAGAAATAAACTTGAAATCATCATGTTGAGAATCCTGTTACATGTGCAGTTAAGCTGCAGCTGAGACGGTTCTCAGAGTAATGCAACACTTTCTGGCAAGCAAGTGCTCACAAGCTCACAGTGAATGAAAACATGTCCCACAGTGCAATTTGTTGACAATTTTATTACACTACAGTTCTGCCCCCCCCCCCGTCCCTTTTTTTTCTCTCATCATCAGATTCAGATGTGACTGAGTCGTCTATCCCTGATGGCGTCCATTCATCCGTTTCTGCGCTGCTGGATCACCTTGAGGAGAAACATGGCTCCTCTATGCTGGCCCGTGCTGTCTCCTACCTCACCCTCTCCAGGACTGGGCTCACTGAGGCCGAGCTCGCTGATCTGCTGTGCAGTGATGAGGGGGTGCTGTCTGAGCATCTTCAGCAGGGTGAGAGTCCCTCCTCCAATATGAGGGTCCCGCAAGTCCACGTGGAGATACTTCTATTGGACCTGAGCAGGTTTCTCATTAGGAGGACAGTTGCAGGGTCTCGTGTCTTGTTCTGGGTGAGCAGGCATTTCAAGCTGGTAGTGGCTAAGAAGTATTTAGGCACTCGTGAGGTGAGGAAAGAGATTCATTCAGCGATGGCAGACTACTTCAGCGGCCGATGGGCTTATGGAAGTTCTCAACCACTGAAATCTGGACCAAACATGGACATCGCCCAAATGGAACTACACACAGACCGACAGTCATCCAGCCAGCCGTTTGCCTATTCTGCCACAGAGGTGGCCCGACTGAACTTGAGGCAGGTCTCAGAATTACTGCATCACTTGCAAGGAAGTAACAAATGGAAGGAGTTGGAGCATTTGTTAATGTATTTTGGGTTTCACCAGGCTGTGGTTCGAGCAGGACTCCTGGGAGATCTGGTAGCCATGTTGGAGGGTGAGGAGGGGTCATCCCACTCCCGGTTTTCAAGGGAAAAAGCACTCCTAGCAAGCATATTAAATTCTTGTGCTTGCTTACTGCAGAGCTCACCCCTGCAGCTGCCGACAGTGATGGAGGCAAGCCTCCTCCCTTATCTGGAGGTCTTTCCTGCGCTCAAAGGTTATGTCAGAGACATCAGAAATGAGAGGAGTAAAAGAGGAGGCGGGTTAGGAGTAGCGCTCAGCCCTGCTCCCTCCTCTGTTCCCTTTGTTCAGTGTTTAAAGTTTGATGCCAAAACCAAGGGCGTTTCAGTTGCAGAAGCAGCTGGGACAGAGCGTGGGATAGTGGCAGAGGTCATGGATGATGGCACTGTTTGGTTTTGGAAAGGCTCTGGGTGTAATGTAGTAAAACTATTACTGAGCTGCGAGCAGAAGGAGTTGAAGTTTGCGGGAGTGAAGAGTAGCGGTCAGTTCATGCTGCTTTCCACACAGTGCAACAAGCTCTTCCTGTGGGATGTGACAGGCCCAGAAATGTTTCTACAGCTTCAGGACCCTTTGAAAACAGAGTTTGTACCAGAGTCAAGCCAACAAACACAAATAGAGGGGTTTGTTGCATGTCAGAAGAAGCTATTCATGTGGTGGAAAGATGAGAGTTTTGTGAGTGTGTTTGATGTCTCCAGTGAGACCTTGACTCATTTCCAGTGTCAGAGCTGTGTGACCTGCTTGGTTTGCTCCTCTAATGGCTTTTATATGTACTGTGGGCAGGAAGAAGGCACAGTGTCCATATTTGACACTATCACTGGCAGCCTCCTTGGCACCTGTTCAAACTCAAACCACAATGCGGTTACATCAGTGTTCCTCTGTGAAGACAAGAAGGAAATGGCTTGTGTTCACAGGACAGGTAATGTGACCTTATGGGATGTGACAGCCAAAACAAAACCACCCAGACTTGTCAAAGAAAGCTTTACTGGGGACACATCTAATAACATCCTCAATACAGATTACTCAGATGAAATTGACACTTTACTGGTGTGTCACTCTCACCAGGTTACTCTGTGGGATACATGTGACTGGGAGTTGTGGGACCAGTTTTTGGCTCCGCAGGGCAGGGCCTTCACCCAAGCTGTGCTCTCCCAGGATGGCCACCTTTTCCTGGCTTTGTTAAATGCCTGTCCATTCGTCTTGGTTTGGAGGGTCAGCACAGGGCATTGTGTTCTCTCCTTAAAAGCAAACAAGCAGCCTCGTACGCTCCTCAAAATGCCCTCAGATATCATTTGTGTCGCTCATGATGGCTGCCTGACAGCTTGGGACTCTGAGACCATAGAAGCTGCAGGTACAGCTCCGAAAATGGGGTGTGGCGTGAAAGAAGTAGCGGTCGAACGGACAGGCGAGTGGTTCTACACCACTGATGGGTCAGAGACGGTGTGGAGATGGAGATTAGAAACAGGACTTCCACATGCTAACATCCTACATGATGGTCCTGTGGAAAAACTGCGCCTTTCTCCTAATGACATCCACCTTGTGACACTCTCAGCGGGGGAAATTTACGTTTGGCAGACAGAAACAGGTGAGAACATCCTGCGTATGAGTGGCAGCAGAGCAACAGACATCCTTATTACCCACAATGGTAACTTTGGGGTGAGTATTTCTGAGCGATGGTTGTCTCGGGTTTGGAAGTTGGTGAATGGGAGTATTGTGTGCAGCATACACTCATACCTACGTGACGCCCAGGTGTCACCTGAAAACACATTCCTTATTGGCCTTCGCCGTGGGGACCTGTTAGCTGCCAGTCTGTGGTCGGGCGCCATCAGCAAGCGCTTCTCCTGCGTGGCGAACTCGGAGCTTGTTGTAGCTTTCCATACAATTTCAGAGCACCCAGACTTTGTGGTTGTGATGGCTGCCTCAGGGGCAGTGTACACCTGGAAAGTAGCAGAGGAGACAGTGTGCAGGCACTTTCAGCTGCCTTATATGTTTCACTGCCAGCCGCAACACTTCCAAATGTCCTCTAATGGGAAGTACGCCCTGCTGTCTACTCATAATGAAGTGATCAACCTCATGGACCTATCTCAGGTCAGACTGTGCTCATTCAAAGCTGAGGGTCCTGTCATTAAAGCGTGTTTGGATAAAAATGGATGCTACATTGCCTACATATCCTACCCCACCACCCTGGAGAAAAGCTGCGTCTGTTCCCTGCATGCAAGGCCCGTCCTCACAGTCGTACGACTCACAGATGGGGAAAGAATAGGAAGTGTGTGTCTGTCTAAGAACCCGTCGACTCTGGTCGCGTACAAGCGTCAGTGTGTGTTCGTGGGCTTTGAGGACGGGTCTGTAGGTGTGTATTCTATTTCAGATCTCGCGATCAATGGGGAGGAGTTCAGGTGCAGAGATAATCTGAATGGTCAGTTGAAGCAATGCCCCTTTGAGAGAACGCCATCCAGCTGGTTACTTCTAGCAACCCCCAATATCGCATGGCCTTAAGATCATTATACACTGTTGTTTGACCACGTTTAAAATGCATGTATACAGATAATAAATGTGACAGCACACAAAGTGAAGAATGTGTTGTATGTAAAATGTATATATTGATATATATAAATATAAACACCTGCATGGTTAAACTGTTTCTAAGCACCTCTGTAAGCCTGCAGCACCTTTTGTTTCATTTTCAGCTGGTCCAGGTTGATGATACGCTTCACAGCAGAAGCATTGAGATCCAGTTTCATTTCTGTGAAAAGAAAACCAAATAACTGAGCAGTTCCGGCCACATCTACTGCATGTATGAACACAGAGATCATCTTGACACATTTATTTGGAATAAAGTAATGTGGTATGAATGTCTTGTTTATATTCATGTTTCTGAGGTGAGAAGTAATGCCAATCTAACATGCTTACATCACTTTTTGTATAAGAATGACTGTCCTCTTGGCAGCAATGTCAGAAAATAGATATATAGAGAGTATCTTGTGTGTATGTTTTCAAAAAATCTAAACCCTGGCCTTTTATTGACTAAAAAAGATTTCTGCACATTGGGTCAGTTCACAATAAAAACAAAAAAAGTCACACCTGTTCTCATTGCAGGTAGATAAGGTTGTATTTTTAGACATTTAAGAGTGCGTCACATTTCTTATGTAAAGCCTAAATAATCGAAACTAACTTTTTAAAGATAAGAGATCTGTCATTCCGCTCATGTTGCCTTCCCTGTTACTCTCTAAGCTTGTAAATTGTAATACTTCTCTCGTACATCCTATTGTTTGTGCACTGCTCGGAAATAAATAACAAATTACACCGAATAACAAACGGGGTTATTGTTAGTCACTTTAATTCTTACAAAATACCTACATAATACTAGCAGAATGAGTCGCTCACGTGCATATTTCCGATAGGGATTTGATTTTTCCGACAGCCCTTGAAGGCAGCATCAGTTGATTTAAAGCGCCTCCAGCAGACAGAGGCAGATCAGTCAAGGTGTAGACATGGTGCAGCTGAACTGTTGGGGAGACAGCTCCAGTGGACAGTACGGTCCACAGACCGCCCTCAGCCCGGTGTCCTGGACGCTTCCCGGGGTGATCACCGACATCTGCTGCGGGGAGCAGCACACTTTATTCCTCACCAGGGATGGAGGCGTTTTATCATGTGGACACAACTCACAGAGACAGCTTGGACGAAAGAAATGTAAAGACGGAAGGACACCAGGTTGGTAGGCTTTACAGTGGGGACATCTGTCAAAAAGCCTGTAGAATAGACTCATATAGGAATATTCCTGGCTGACTGTTAAATAACAAAAGTTCAGCTATTGAATTATTATAATTTTCTTTGGTTCTTTTTTTCGAGTCTGTCAAGAAAGTTTCATCCAAGCAATAACTTTATCTTGTATTTAGTTTCTGCTGACAACCTAATGAGTTTATTGCATCCACCCAGAGCCATAACTCAGCGTTACGCAGGATAATTAACTGAACTAAGTTTCAGTTTCGTTTCCTTGTTTTCAGTCTGCACAACGAAAGTTAACTAAACTGCACTTTATTGTGCGTTGAGTTCACGTGCAGGTGGGAACTTTGTCTGATGAACTGCAAAATATTGGAGAACATAAATAATGGTGAATAGGTAAATACAGTAATAGTGAGTGGTATTTAAACCAAAACAATATTACAATGTTAAATACTTCTGCATTCAAGAGGACATTTAGAATGATTTATGATTATATTATTGGATTATTATTATTATTAAACTATTCACATGTAAGGAGCATTTTTTGTTGCAGGTTGAGATTTAACTTATTTTATCTACTTTATCTACTGGTGTTGGATAGTTTGATCTATATCAGTTAATCACATTGAGCTGATTTGGTGCAAAAAAAGGACCCAGAAACTATAGCTGTCAAATGACTTCAGTTAAGCAGAAGTATAAAGTAGAATAAAATGAAAATACTCAAGTAGTGTTTGAGCAAAGGTATTTACTGACTTTCCACTATTGTAATTTAGCACTTAACACAGGCTCAGACTTTAAATGCTGTGTTTAGGTTTGCATTTTCAGGCAGTTTCGGCTCATTACTATACTTAAGTTATTATGTTTAGATTTGTATTGTTACACTTTACATCCTAGCTGTTGAACTAAATGGGTTTCAGATTGTGATTCTCCATCTTTCCTCCTGTATTAGGTCGTGTGGAGGGGCTGGGTGATGTGGTGTCGATGGCTTGTGGCCAGGACCACAGTCTGGCGGTGTCTGCATCTGGACACGTGTTCTCCTGGGGGGCTGAAGGGGATGGACAGCTAGGCATACCACCACACCAACTGTGCAACAGTCACAGACCGAAGCAAGTTCTCAGTGAAATGTATGAATGTGCATACTCATGACTGAAACTTGACATTTTTTAATCTATTATTGTCTCATCAACATGCAGTCGGGTGCCCATACCAATACCAATACCGGTGATTCAGGTTGCTTGTGGAAACTCCCACTCACTGGCACTGACTAAAGGTACAACACTGAACACCCTGAGTGATGATGTCTGTGTGTGTCTACATGGAACAGTTCCAGCTCCAGTTTGACAGCTGTTTAATTATGTGTAACGTAGCAAGGATTTGTTTTTGCCACTGTGCCACTGTACCACTGTTCCAAATCCACTTTTCCAATTCCCCTGCAGACATGATCGTGTGCAAATTAATGTTTTTGACATAAGCAGCTTCAACCAACCACAGCGACACAGTCCAGCCAATATTCAACTCTCAAAAAAAGATTACTTCAACTCCAAAGAGACCATCCTGTTTGTTTGCATTTAGTCGTGTCTTGCCACGGGGCCCATTGTAAATAAGAATTTGTTCTTCATATCTTGCCAGGCACATTTCTGTGGACATTTTGTGCGCTCATCTTAGGACAAGTACCTGCATGACAGGTTCTCTTGTAGTTAGAGCAAAAATAGAGTAGATAACCTGAGAAGAAACTTGATTTTCTTGAAATGACTTCCTAGTGATACCACCTGTGTTATATGTGATATGCGTTTGTTCAGTGAGAAATAGCTGATTATTACATTGATAAGCTCAAGTAATGACCTCTGTAGGTTAATTGGTTTAATTGGTTGTCATGGTGTACATATTGTGAAAGTAAAAGTTATAATTAAGTTAAGTTAAATATTGATTTTACCTGCTTACATCTACTGATAGAGTATACAGACTTTGTGATTAATTAAATTTAGCTCCATTATTCTCCACTTTCCAGGAGGAGATGTCTACTCGTGGGGTTTGAACAGTCATGGTCAGCTGGGCCTGGGGAAGGATGTGTCACTGCAGAACACACCTCTCCTGGTGTGCGCTCTGACCGGTGTAGCAGTGACCCAGATTTCTGCCGGAGCGACTCACACTATGTTCCTAACACTCCCAGGCCTGGTGTACTGCTGTGGGGCCAATCAGTCTGGACAGCTGGGGCTCAACCGGAGGGATCCAAAGGGTACAAATAATTGACTGTCAATTGTCAAACTAAACTCACTCTACATAGTTATATTCGAGTAATAGAGCTAAATTTAAAAAAAGAAAGTTATGATTTTCTATTTAGGTAGCCAAACTTAGAGACTTCCTTGCTAGTTTTATATGACAAAAAAAAAACAACCTTATTTTATGTAAAAATATAAATAGCATCAATATAGACAAATATAATTAATTCGAATTTTGGTTGTACAAATTGAGCAATGACTTGTTATTCTTGCTACAATCTTTGGATTTGGAAACTTGAAAACAGGCTAAAAATCTTGCTGCAAACTAAACGTAGATCCTTAGACAAGTATTTAGTGTTATCAAGATTTAAGTGTTATTTTGGGGAAATAAAACATGATGATACATCAGAGGCACAGACTGGTACATTTAACCTCACATCAACCTCCTGATTATATATTTCATCTAATTTATCAGATTCTTCCCATTTTTTTTTTTATTTCTTACCTGTCTTTAACAGGCAGGTTCAACATCTGTATGGTACCTGCCCTCAGACCTCTAGGTGTCTCCTTCATAAGCTGTGGAGAGGCGCACTCGGCGGTGTTAACAAAGGTACAAACTTCACTTCCAGCCTGTTTCTCAGCCGTATATGTTGGGTTGATTTACAGAAACTGACAAAATGATCACACTGTCAAGATATGACGATATTATGTGATGCTGTGATTTCTAGGATGGCAAGGTTTTCACTTTTGGAGAGGGGCGCCACGGTCAGCTCGGTCATAACTCCTCTGCTGATGAAGTGGGACCCAGACTGGTCGATGGTCTGGATGGACTCGCCTCACAGATTTCATGTGGCAGGTGTTTATGTGAACTCTGAAACTTTGAGAATTAAAGTAATTGAGTTGTACTATTACTATATAATATGAAGTTTCTCAGTAAATTCACGATTGTTTCTTGTCTCCCAGACGTCACACTCTGGTTTTGGGCACTTCTGGCCAGCTGTGGGCTTTTGGCAATGGGGCCAAAGGTCAAATTGGGACTGGAAGACCAGAGGACAGTTTGATTCCCACTCTGGTACAGCTTCCGTGGACCACTGACAGCGCAGCAGTCGTACCCGAAAGTATGTATAAATGGGCAGTGTGGTCTTCTTCACATTACCTATCACATTACGTATCACTTTAATCTTATGATTATCTCAGATTAAAGGTCCAGTGTGTAATTTATTATGTATTTAAGAGGAATATGGAATATAAGTATGTTTGTGTATAATCATCTGAATCTAAGAATTGTTAGTTTCTGTTACCTTAGAATGAGCCATTTTCATCTACAGACACGGTGGGTTGCCTTCAGTAGAACCTTGAAGTCAGTAGCCATGTAGAACTGCCATGTTTCTACAGTAACCCATTCTTGGACAGTTTCTCATAAATGTTCAGAAATAGAAACAGTTGGCAGTAAAACATTAATTTAAATGAGTATTGTTTCAATCTTGTGTTCTGTTATAGTAGAAAGTGGTGTAAGATTTAGGTAACATTTATATGTGTGTTTTTATTGGTTTTTATTTGTTTGAGCAGACCTGAAAATATCGACCAGGTGGAATACAAACTTCGCTTATGCTTCACCTACACAGGTAACACGTTCAAGTATTTGAAAACTCATTGTCTTTATTGACTTTCACACAAAGCTACCCTTTTTTTTTAAGTTAAGCACCTTAGTGTAAAACTGATCTCATATGGCTTTAATGTGCCCTTGTATAAAACGTCTTCATGTCTGTCTTTTAAGAGATTGGAACGAGGACAGATAACTGGGCGGCTGGATGAGACAAAACTACAAAAATGGTTGACAATGAAACACAGCAATGAAGCGGCAAAGAGGTCCTTTTTTCATAATTGTATTGTATGTTATATTTATGTATTAAGTATATGTGTTATGTAACTACAGTGTTTGTAAGCCTCCGAATTTCTTTCTTTACTCAACAGAGAAATATGTTTGATGTTTTTGACAAGTTCAAGTCTTGTTGCAAGTTTCACAAAGGCAAAGTGAGTCCTCTTTTCTATTGGCAGAATTAAAAGATGATCTGAATGTCAGTTTTGCATATTGACCTGCCACATGTTTTAATGCTTTGCTTTGGGTATCAGTGGGTCTCCATCTAAAGCAGGTGCCTTAACTGTGGACCTTGAGGCAGCTAGCCGAGCTTTCGACCAGCTGCTGGCAATACCATGGATCAAACAATCAGTTAAGAACATACATTTAATCATTTTCATGCATCATTGAGATAATTTGTTCTTTTAATGACATAAGTTGATTGAGTGAGTTATTTATCCCCGTGTTATGTGCAGCACCAGGCTCTGAACCATGTTGTGTTGCATGTTATCTCATTGATCTCTTCTCCATGCAGGTAGACCTTAAAGTCCTGATTGATTTGCTTTTCGCTTCAAGCACTGCACTTAAATCACCAGAGATCATCCTGATTCTGCTGACGTGTCCCCTTCTCCAACAAGACTCTCATGTCATAAACTGGGTGCTGCCTTTGGCTGTCGTTATCACAGAGCAGAATGAGAAGAATCAGATGACCCTAAGTAAACTTTATTTTTTTTTTACCCTAAGTAAACTTTTTGTCGCAGCTTTGGGAAGATATGTAACCATTCTTGAGCTTACTGTACAGTATTGACAAATTTCACAAAATTAGACATTACATATTGAATGTGGCCATGTATTTTAGAATTAAAAGAAATAAAAGTTTGTATTTCCCCTGATGTAAATAGTTTTCACACAATCTATTCCAGCTGAATTGTAAAATGTATGATATAAAACTATACACAGCCTTCAGTAGTTAAAACTGTTCTTCTCTTTAATAACTAATGTATTGTATTTGTTTTTATGCTGCAGAAGACTGGTGGTCTTCCCTGGCACCCTCCATGCTAATGAATCACATCATGGTGTTCAAAAACGCTCTGGCCTTCATGCTAAAAAGTGGCCTCTTGCTAACTCACAACCCAGGAGTCAGATACCTGCTGGAAGTCCTCAAGCTGCTCTACAAAGTCAGTGCTGTGTGTGATGAATAATTTAAATGAAAACTGAATTGAAAATCAAGTGTTTACTGGTTTTGACAAATTTGACAAATACTGACTAATGGCCAGAACTGAAGGTGATGTCTGATCACCATTGTATGATCCAGCATTTTTCATGCACTACAAAATGAAAATATGTTTGCATAATATTTCTGTTTTTCGTTTTTGTAATTTATATATTTTTCACAGGCAAACAAAGTTGGAAAGTCCTACAAACTCCCACTGAGCACCTTTTACGTGGAGGAAATCAGCAGTTGTGTGCAGCCAGTTGAGGACATCACTCTTTGGAAAACGTTTTCTAAATTGGAGGTAAAAACACACAAACTCAGTGTGGCAGTGTTTTAGAGGAACAAGCCGTCCTCTCCTGAATGGTTTTCTGTTTCACTGCTTAATGCTGAAATTATTTCTTAGTAAATCATCAATTATTTTCTTAAAGGATGACAAGAACACTCCTGCCATTTTCTGCCGGTACCCGTTCCTTTTCAATCTGGTTTGCAAGGTTGCGATCTTTAACATCTTTGCACACATAACAAAGGTATGTATTAAAAATCGATCATTTGTTAACTTTTTACTGAAGGTCTCCATTAATGACACTTTATAATAATGTGAGCAGTTATTACTTAATTTTACATTTGATAATTAGATATCTATTTCGTATACTATATAATTATATTGAAATTGCTTTCTATCTGGGTTTTGTGATTTCAGACAGCGCAAAGGTTCATTCATGAATGGTCTTTGGCGTGGCCTAATGAAATGTTGATAGATTGTCCAGACGCTGCCCCGGCTCCGGTCTTCCAGCTAACTCTGAGACGAACTCACCTGGTCGAGGATACCTTCAGACAGCTCAGTGCAGCCGACCACTGCGCCTTCAAAAGGGAGCTTTTGGTAAAAACGCTATCAAAACTTAACCAGCTTTAGTGTTCTGAAGCTAAATTTGGTAACTTCTGTCTTTATACGACTTAATTAGTAATTAAAGTGGTGCTCACTCCAGTGGAGTATTTAAAAAAGTATAATTCTATCCTTCCTAGGTGCAATTTGTGGATGACCGTAAGGTGATGAATGTTAACAAAAAGGACCTCTTCCTGCATTTGTTTGATGAGCTGATGGCTCCAGAGTCTGAGATGTTCATGTACAATGAGAGGAAAACTCTGGCCTGGTTCCCTTCCAAGGTGAGATTCTGCTTTGACCTGATTTATGGTGATGCCCCGTTTTAGAGTTAAAGGGTTAAAGATAGAGTTAAAGGTCCAGTGTGTTTAGGAGGATCTGTGGGAATATAATATGCATAGGAACGTTTTCATTAGTGTATATTTAGCTGTTAAAAGTTTAGCTACAGATGCCACGGGTTGCCTCTCAATCCTACACACTTGTCCTTTAAAGCAACACGCACTGTATATTTGAAACTTGGACTTGAACTGTATTGATGTTTCTCTCATCAAACAAACAGCCAATAGTGGAGGAGAAGACTTACTTCTTGTTTGGCGTTCTGTGCGGCCTGGCTCTCTTCAACCACAACATTGTCCACATGCCCTTCCCACTGGTTCTCTTCAAGAAGCTGCTCAGAGTCAAACCCTCGCTGGATGACATGAGGGAGTTTGAACCTGGGGTTGGAGAGTAAGATTTGAAAAATGCAACACGGAGAGTCGCGATTTTTGTTGTATTGTTGATGTTTCTATTCTTCTGTTACATTGTCTGTTTGGTGGTTTGCAGGTCAAAGGTATGTTTAATTGTTCTTTCCGTATATTCACTGTGTCTTCAGGTGTTGCCGGTGCATGCTGGAGGACTACACGCCTGAAGAAGTCCAAATCATGGAGACTACTTTCACTGTAGGTTAACCAAAGCACAATTAGAATGACTGCCAGTGTTATTTCATACTACAATGCCTACAAGTGTGGCATTATTCGTTACAGGTGTCCTGGGGTGGAGAGACTGTTGAGCTTGATCCGACAGAAACTGAAAAACCTGTCACAGCGTCAAACAAGTAAGTTTATACACAACTACTGTATGTAATGTGTGTGGCAAACAGTGAAATAGGTTCACTAGGTATTCTTTTGGTGGGGGTAGACACATATTCATGTTGAAAAGCCATGAAAAAGTGCATTTTGTTGCCTTAAAACATGTGTTACATTTCCATCAGCCTGTGTATCTGATATCCTCCCAGTTTACCCTGTACACTGTTAACTGACACATAATTCTCATATCAGCTGATAATCCTGCTATTGCTGCCATTTAGCAGTTGAAACTCATGCTGTGACATGGCTGGGTAAATATGCAGAGTTGAAAGTGTCAGCCAACAGAGGGCAGTGCAGCAATACTTTTCTGTCATTCAAGATTCATTGTGATTACTCTTGGATTATAAAGGAACATTTAAGCATACAGAGACTTGCGGTGGTGAGGTGAGGGGGGAAACCTTTGTAGAAGATCACTGGACAATGTCAACACTCACTTAAAGCTAATTGTAATTATTTTTTTTAACTAGGAAAGAGTTTGTTGCTGCCTATGTCGACTATGTCTTCAACAAATCAGTGGAGGGAGTGTTCGAAGAGTTCAAGAGAGGGTTCTTCAAGGTGTGTGATATCGACGTGGTGGACTTCTTCCAGCCAGAAGAGTTGCAGGCGGTGATGGTGGGCCAAGAAAACTACGACTGGGAGATGTTCAAGCAGGTCTGCTGAAGTCAGAAATGTTGATAGTGATATTTATATTTGTATATTTATATTAAATTTTCAATTTCAGATATTCTGAATTTTATATTAACTTTAAACAAGAATTCAGTATCAAAATACTCAACAAACAAGATTAAATGACTTGATTTTACACTTTTACTGACAGTTTTATATTGCACATCATATGTTGTCAGATAATATGAGTTAAGTTTTGAGTTTTAAGTTTTAAAATATTTCCTACTGTCAGAAGTGCTTGTCAAGCCACCCAAGTAAGTCAGCTGTCGAACAGCTTGGTGTTTGTTTTCAGATAAAACATTTTTTTGGCACCCATCACCTGAACACAGCAATAAGATTACCTGTTAAAAACAATACTGTAACACAATGTAGGGAATCAAAATGAAAAATGTATGGGAGAGAAGTTTAGAAAAAAAGCTCTGCTACACAAATATATTTATACATTTTTAAAAATACTTTTATCTAATATTTGCTTAAATTTGAAATAAATAATTTTACTTGTTTGGACCTCAAACAGTTATTTAAATGAAACCATCTAAAAGTCTAACTCAGCCATCTGAAATGTGACAAGGGTCCCCAACTACTTTTTCCTATGGGGTTAACAAGCCAGAAAGATTAGGAACCACTTGGTTAATCTTTGACAATGTGTTGTGTTTTATAAGATATTTACATTTATATGTCAAATCTTACAGTAAATATTAACTTTAGCTGTTAATGCGTTAATGTAGTGGTGGATTTCCCTTTGTAGTTGTGGAACTGTAGTAGAGTAGAAGTATGAAGTAGCATAAACTGAAATTTAATTACATTAAAATTGTACTTAATTACAGTAGTTTACTTTCACATCACTGTTTATAGTTTGCATTTTACAGCACCAGCATGTGCATTTAATTTGATAGATATCTACTTATATTTGTTTATTCTTCCCAAACAGAACACAGTTTATGAAGGAGTCTACAATGCTGAGCATCCAAACATCGTGACCTTCTGGGAGGTGTTTCAGGAACTGACAGAAGAGGAAAAGAAGAAATTCCTTTGTGAGTATTATGCTTATTATCTTTCATCAAGTTTAACTTTACATCAGAGTGATGCTGTCTCAATCACATTAAGACTTAATGAAGAGTGTTTCCCTGGTATTTATTTTCGTTAGATTTAGAATCAGATGCTTTATTGACATCTCTTTGTTGTTTGTGTCTCCAGTGTTCCTCACAGGCTGCGACCGTGTGCCCTTCCTGGGTATGGAGAGCATCAAGATGACAGTCGCCGTCCTGCCTGACTCCAGTGATCGCCACTTGCCAGAAGCGCTCACCTGTCATCTTCTGTTGTTACTGCCCATCTACCAGAGATACCCGGTCGAGAGGATAATGCAGACCAGGCTTCTTCAGGCCATTAATCACAACAGAGGCTTCTGGAAAACAGAGAATACAGAGTGAAGTTAGGAAGGCTTCTTTAGAAACACTTCAGTAAGGTTTGGGTTAGTTTACTAGTGTTACGTTATAAAGGGACCTAACAGAAGTAGATCAGCAGCCTATGTGCTGTCATTTAGTAGTTTGAGAAAATGGGCAGTAATACGTGTATTTGTGTTTTAATTTCACTTGATAGCACTCGCACATATTATATGTTGAGGTCTTGTGTTACAAGTTAGAATAAATGTTTCCACATATAACCAGGATGGAAGGGTCAAAAATAAATAAATAAATCACAACAGAGATAATAAACAGGGACAGAATGCATTAATAAAATCACTGGTTTTTAGTACCCACATCATGTGGACGGATATTGGACATTTTCAACTGCCATTGCTTTCAGCCTCTGCTTCGATCCATCCTACTGAGATGATTATTTAACTTATTTCCCACTTTATATCATGACATTATTAACATTAAGTATTCATTCTGTCCATGTTATACAAGCTTAAGCAGATGTTTTGTTTGTGCAAAAAACTTTGTAATTGAAGAAAAAGTTGTACCTGAATAATCTACGAAATAAATGTTTTTCTATGCAATACTGGCTGAAAACAAAATAATTGTAACTATGTTCTTTTCTAAATCATATAGCAACAATCAAAACACAATCTTCTAATATCATATACTTCCCTCCATAAAGAGTTGATCACTCGCTGTAACGCACATTTAGCCAAAATACTTTTCTGTGATAAAACTTTTCACGTTTCACATCTGAGAAAAAAGTGAATTTTGAGCACATAAAACAAACAACTCAGCAGCTCCATCATTCAGACTTTATTCATCAGTCGTCATATCATTTCAGTGGCTCAATTTGATAGGTTGTCTGCTTTCAGCCTGCTTTAACAGTCAAGGACCCATTTAGGATTAATCCTGCAAAAAAAAGTATTTAAATTGTCTGCTGCATAGAATAATTATTAATGAGATGATGCAACTTCAGGTTTATTATTTAAATGAGCGCTTTGTTGAAACATTTGGAAAAAGCTTTTATTAAGTTAACCGAGATCAGCGTTACAATAAATTTAATCTGAGGAAAACTCCTGAATTTCAACTGAATTTTGAATAGAATTAATTTAAGTGAATATGAATCCTACTCTGGTTTGAAATAGCATTTGAACATAAAAAAAAGCAGAGACATCACATTTCATAGTGACATTAGACGATTTACAAGCATATTAAAGCACAAGAAAGCGTTTCTGACATTAAAATATTTCAAGTATCTCAAGGAGACTAGAGCAATTTTCACAGGACAGACCATCTCATCTCTTCCCTTTCTTTATTCCATCTGACTTTCAATATGAAAAGCAGTAAATAATTTACTTGTTTTTTTTTTTAAAAGGATATCAAAGTCAACTCAACATTTCATCGTGAGGTCTACACCTTAATGCGGCTTACACCGTTTCTATTCCAGAGCTGTCAGGCAGCAGAGCTCATACGTGTATCAAAGCACATACAAAAACAGATGAAGTGGAGTTGGTACTACAACCACACTGGTTAGACAACCCTTGTTTCCAGATCCAATTATGACCGAACTTGTACTTTTCTCAGCCATGAAAGAACTATTAGAACCAGGGAAAGTGTATTTCTAGTCAAACATCAAAGCAGAGCTACTTTCAAACCTGAATTTGAGGTCTTTTTCATTAAATGGACGGTTTTTGTGTGCTTTCTTTCTGTTGGCTCAGAAAAATCACACTAACTGCGTTAATACTTTTGCTATACACAAACATACGTACTTAAATATTCCTTAAAAACAATTACAAACAAATAATTACACAGTATAGAAAAACAACTTAAAGCCACTTGCTCTTGCTACAAACTTCCGAAGACATTACATAAAAAAAGACAAATAAAGGCAATACTAACGACACGGGGCTGTGCTGTGAGAGAAAAAGGCAATGATGCCTCACATCTTCTCCTAATCGTCTTGTAGCATGTTGTTGTTGTGCTCCATGCAAACATGGAGTGAGTCTGTGCAGTTCTGTCTTTATGTCTGGGAGGTGATGGGATATCATCCAGACAACTTGTGTTGTGTTTCATCCAAGTCCAGCTTCTCTGATGTGCGTGTGTGTTTTCTTGAGTTTTTTTTTTTTTTTTTTTTAGGGGGGTGAGATGGCATTCCGACTGCCGAGTTCGTCTGCTACACAATGAGTGAGTGTTCTAAGTTTTATCTGATGAGGTGGTAGGTGAGCCAGTACATGAAAATGGGCTGTGCTGCTGCTATAGACATGGTGAGGTACATCCTCAGCTGGTTTCTGGTTCCTCTCACAAGCCTCCCCTCCGCCGCCGCCTCAGATAACAGCTTCAGACGCAGAGTGCGGATCTGAGGAGAGACCCCCGTTGAAGATGTTATTTAATCAGCCATTGAAGAAACATGCATATGTGTCAGCTGAGCCACCAGGTTATTTATTTATGTGCTTTGGTGATTTGACAACAACAGAGAATAGACTGTTTTGAGGTCCTATGACACAAATGACAGATTAGAATAGCCACAGAACGGAAGAGTGAAACAAAACAAAAAACCTGAATGAGCTATATAAGAAACTTTATGAAGTTTAGGACATGTGGTAGAGCTGAGGATTGTGCATGAATACAGTACAATGTGTGTGTGGAGAGTGTGAGGATAGGGGTCCAGAGGGCAAAACAGAAAGATAAGAGAATGTGAGATGTTTTATAAACAGAAAAGATGTGCAACTGCAGCATGTCTTATGTCTGTATTAATGTATTTTGTTAGAAAGTATATTTATGTTACTTATATAAGGGTATAGGAAAGGCCTTTGCTTATTTGCTGGCATGAAATTACAGTGCAAAGGCATCTAATATGATACATCTGTGCAGGTAGTGTCTGGAAGGTTTTGCTGGCAAACAGCAGCAATATGATACTGGCTCACAGCCTAAAGTGTCGCTGATGTCTATCAGTGTGTGGCACAAAAATCAGAGTACAAGATTACACATTTACATCAAAGGATTACATACCGTTTCCCGGTTGACCAAACATCATCGATTATTTGTTTACAGGAAATCTGTCTATTAAGATCAATAATTACAAAACTCTTGCGAGTTAGTAGATGCTGCTGCTACTCACCATAAAGACAAAGATGGCAACGCAGCACCACAGTAGAGAGAGATAGTACGCTAGCCTCCCAAACAGCAGGCCTGCTACCACCCCTATGATCATCCTAAAGAAAGAGACACACACAGTCACAGGTTAGTTATAACATCCACAGAGCATTACATGAAAACAGAAAGAGTTTTGTCCATAGCATTGCTCACGGGAAAACTAGCCATAAGAAAATAAGAAACGGCGAGCATAATAAAGGGTGATGAGCTGAGGGGCGGCAAGAGGGTGAGGGTTGATGATGAAAATGTAAACACAAACAAAGAAAGGTGTTGTACATACCCAACATATTTGTACCCAGAAAAAGCCAGCAGATCTATGGTTGTGAGGTCAGTGTTAACGGTGACAAGGTACAGTGAGAGCAGGACCGCCAGGACCTCCATGATGAGCCACACCAACGCCGAGCTGGCCTGAACTCCAAGCAGCTCCGGAGAAAACCTGAAGGGTGCACAAAATCACAGTTTACACACACTATATACACTGTGAACTCTAGTAGACTCTAGTTGTAGTGCATCATCAGTGTGAGGTGGTAGAGCTTTATCAGTGATCAATCAGGAAGTGATGTTTTTGTTTTTCCTAGCATAAATATATATGCAACACTAATGAATCCATCCTGATTGCTTTTTGTAATAATTAAAAAAACAGTACATCTCCTACCTAGCTGTTAATGATCACTTCTCAGATCAAGAATCAAATGATAATCAAGCATTAGATTAGCATGTCTTTTCTAAATCTGCCTCACGTTGAGAAAAACAAGGATGTATGCGTACTTGTTCTGTGTGCCGAGGGCCAGTCCAGCCACCAGGACATATGTGATGAAGCCCATGGCGGGAATGTAGAGATCGGGAGCATTCACATCAAAGCGCGGGGCCACAGGAGTGTCCTGCTGGTAGCACACCTCCCAGTTCTATAACACACACACACTTAAAACTTAAAACTCAAAATCAAATTAAAATATCATAGATCTATTGAAACATCTTGCTTATGTATGGTATGATTAGTTCACAGGAAATTTGGAACTACAACAGCTTCAGGCAGAACTAGAAGCAAGCAGGTATCTTGTCTTAACCTGGACCACATATGGAAAACCCCAGAGGCCCACGGAGAGAAATCAACATATTTCCACGTGCACAGGATTCCTCTCCCTATTCAAAGTGGCGGGCATAACAGAATAATGTACACTGAGCAGGTGTAAGCAGACTCACCTCGTGCATGTAAGGGAAAACCAGAAGGCCCAGCTTCTTCCCCACATACAATGTATCCACGGCAAAGTAGTATTTCAGCTTAGAAATTGGGATGAACCTGTCCAGCTGAAACAAACAAGCACAGAGACATACATGCTTTATTTGATGGGGTTTCAGTATAATGTGGCCTCTCTTCAACTATACGTGTCACGAGCCTTTCAAAAGAAATGTTTATGAGTCAGTCTTACATTCTTGTCCACCATTTCCCGTCCCTGGGATGCCAGTGAGCTGCCATATGCCATGGCCAGGTTGGACATGGGATCTGACAGAATGGACTGGGCAGGAAATCCTGCTGCTTGAGGCCCGGCCGGCTGGTTGCTGCCAACATGACACAAGAAAACGTATCAGCCGACAGAACGTGGGAAATGTATCGGCTACATTTAACACAAACATATAATCAAATCTGTTGTAAGGACAGGATGCAAAAGACTGCACAGCTGAATGAACAGACAGGATGTTAGGAATCTTATGTTGTTTTTTTTCTCCAAAGAGTAACAATTTCTTTTGATTGACGTAATATAGGACATAAACATTTGACAGATCTTGACTCAAACAGTTTAATATCCAGCCTAACTTCAGCCTCGCGGGCAGGGCTCCCACCTGTATCCTGTCTGTGATCCAGCTGCAGGTCCACTCGTATCCTCAAACAGCTGGCTGCCTTCTGGACCATCCACTGACGTATTCCTTAGACGCATGTTGGGCTCTGGATGCAAAGAGAGAGAGCGATTAGAGATGGGTCAAACAAAGGAGTAGATCTGAAATCACTTACAATTTACGGGATTAGTAAAGCAAGCAAATGCAAAGCAACCGAAAAAGAAGAAAAGAAATCTGACAAACCAGAATGAAATAAACTTGACAAAACTTTCCCCTCAACCTTTTTTTGTTTGTTCTTTGAGTGATATTCAATCTTCAGTCTTTACTGAGCTCTTCTCCAGTCGAACAGCATATCATAGACACTGACAACTTCGAAATATGAATGCCTGGAGAGGTGAAGTGCAGCCCTATTCGAGCTCTATTTATTAATGACTCCTATAAACCAGTGTAGGCATCACTTGGGAAATCCAAGTGGTGAACATTTGTAGCAGACAGCATTTTAAACAAAGTCTGTACACAAATGACTGTCTGTGTGCAGCTGCGCACACAAATGACTGTGTGAATGCTCTGTGCAGGAGAAAGAGCTCTTTGGTCCATTTCCCTAGGGGAGTACATCATCACACACTCATCACAAGAGCACATTACATCATCCTAGAGAGCCACAACACGGTTTATTGTGGACCTTTGTTCCCTGTCGAAAAGGAAAGTATGATGAATATGACATAAAACCTACAGTATGCAGAGCCCACAAAGACACACCTGCACATCTTTAAAAGTACTACAGATACTGAAGACCTGTGTGTGTGTGTGTGTGTGTGTGTGTGGAGAACAGGAGCCTTGAGATCTACCCTAGAAAACAACAGAGTGCTTTGGCTACCAGTTGGTTTGGTTGTGGAAAGCGATAAACGATTATTCAGGTATGCTGAATCCTCTGCAGAGTGTGCACTGCGGAGGCTTGTTGCTCAGATACTTGAGCATTAACGCGTACTAACATGAAATCATTGTTATTGGCTGTGTGGCCTCATTACCAACCCTTAAACTCATCAGACATGAAGTCAATAACGTGTCTGTCGAAGCAAAGCCCGTCTCTTGCAGAAGTGACCTCGGATTGAAGATACATTTGCTAGCATACGTCTACTACCGTCAACGTGTTAATATATAATTACATATAAAAAGGCCAAACACGCGTACATTAGCCTAATGTAGCTATTAAGATAAAGCTGTCTCACACGTTGTCTAACGATGGACGCCGGTGGACGTCCATTTAACGCTTTAATGTTTGTGTTTTGCCCGTTGTTTGAACATTGAGTTGTTAGCCTCAACCGGCTGAAAGCAGCGACACCGTTTCAGTTCCGTTTACGTCGTTTGGGTCCCAGAAAGCTAACAAGTACACAATGTGCACATGCAGCCGACGGTATTAAAGACTGATCCGATCGATACATTCACGTACGTAACTTACGCTGTCTGAACCCACTTTGAGTTGCAGTATAATCCATTTGGACGAGCTTGTTGGGAGCAGTGGTCGTCAGTTAACCCACTCCAGTGAGGTGCAGCTGCTGCTAACGTTAGTTAGCAAGCTACCCAGGGAAGTTGGAGTCATTCATAAAATTTACACGGAAGTAAACGCGTTCCTTTTCTTCTTCTTTACTTTTAATGACGGTTACAGACCAACGTGAATGGGGAATACCGCCACCTACTGTGTGGAGGTGTCCTGTCATTTTTGATACCTAGCGTTAGGTTAAGTACAGTTTTAAGTACTTGTACTAAGTATTTTTCATTTTGTGGTAATGTATACTACTACTCCTCTACTAATAATACATTTCAGAAGGATATATTTTACTAAACACCATGAACCTGTTCAAATTAAGCCAATCCCTACTAACTACATTAAAAACTACTGCTGACATGTTGATTCATCAATAATATAATTATATAATACTGACAGGGACCATTCTGCATAATGAGTCTGTTTACTTCTGTACTATAATTTTGAAAGCCGAACTTTTACTCATAATGGTTTATTTAAATGTGGTATTGTTACTTTTACTCAATAAATGAATTGACATTTCTTACATCACTGCTTTTTCATTATACAGTAGGCCTTATTCTCTATGTTCTCCCTGTGTCTGCGACTCTGCGTGGGTTTACCCCTGGTGCCCCAGTTTCTTCCACCATCAAAACATGTATGTTAGGTTAATTTCTGCCCTTGACCAAAGCACTGACTCAGAGTTGGACCCTGGGGCACAGTACAGTGGCTGCCCACTGCTCCTAATAGGATGGGTTAAATGCAGAGGACAGATTTCCCTATACATTGTACTGTGTATGTTGTATATGTGACAGAGAAGTTGATTTAAGTTGACGTTGCATTGCATTAAGTCTTTGTATGTTCTAGCCTTCTAACAAGGATGAATTACTGATTTTGCTTCAGTTCTACTGAATTATCACTTTCACCTTTCTTTCATTATTCTTTAACCAAATTATCAGCAACCATGCTCCCTTCTATTCCCACATGTGAAGTAAATCCATGTGTTTCTCAGTTGAATTCAACGTGAAATGCTGAAATAACATACTTACTTCATCTCAATGTATTTGTAGTTTTGATTACACTAGTAGCTGCCTGAATTGCTGGTACAACAAAATGATACAACGAGGTAAAGGAAATGTCTCAAACACCATGATGACTTAGGTCAAACTTCTAAACCGATATGAACTGTTACTGAAAGACGCCAGTTGTCATCATACATGGAACTGTAGTGGATGACAATAGCAGATGCTTACAGTGGGAAATGACTGTGGTGATTTCCACATACAAAGTCATCAAAGTAAGATACAGGAGAACAGGAGCAGCCACATTCCAGTAGCGGTGACAGTAAATGTGCTGAGAGGAAGTTGTTACGTAAGTGAAAAATAAGTGATAAACATAAATAATCCACAGACCTTAATATAGGGCAGAATCAAAGTTATAGTAGGTATATGTATTATTAAAAAAAACACTCCAACTTGAACATCCAGAAAATAAATTATACAAATGTATACAAATGCTAAAACTGAGATGGTAAGCTTACACTTTCAAGTTTCCCATGAAGTACTACTTGACTCTTCTTTTCAAAATTGTGGTGGTATTATTTAGATGTGCAAAGGCACCTAAAATAAGTACCTGTGTTAGCTTTAAACAATAGCAAGCAATATGCTGCGACACTAGCTCTGGTGGGCATGAGTTCCCCCAGCCCCAAGGTGGTGCTTAGGGGCTCTGTTTTTATGAATATTATGTATTATGATTGACAAACAACTGTCAACAACAGTTTTGAGGTGCTGTTCTGAAATAGTGTGATTGAAACTGCTAAAAGTTGCAATGAAGCACTTTTTGACACTAGATTGGATCCTGATCTATCTATCTATCTATCTATCTATCTATCTATCTATCTATCTATCTATCTATCTATCTATCTATCTATCTATCTATCTATCTATCTATCTGACTTCTTGTCCCTACGTAACCTTTATTAAAAATATTTTAATATCCGTTTCCTTTGAAATTCTGAGAGTTCCCATAAATGTTGTCATGCTAATTATCCTCTTCTCTGTGGTGCAAAAGCCTTTTCTACACCTATGGCAACTTCCAGTAACATGTATTTCCTGGTAGACACCCTGTACTTTCTGTTTATCTGGAATGTAATCAAACTTGAGTGCTAACTTAAAGGCTGATGGAAAGCTGCCAAAGAACGAAGACAGAAACTTTAAAAGGCATCAGTTCTCATAAACCTGACGGAGAAGAAAGAACTGTTTTCTATAACTTAGGCATTTGTGTGAAACCATGGCCAACTGTGCTCAGGTACAAAGAGGTGCTGCACAAGTGGAGACTACAAGTAACAGAGGTAATCTGTATTTTCTTGCCTATTTTAATCTTTTGTTCATTCAAATATACTTTTTAATTGTTTCTTTTTTATCTCAATACCTGACGTTGGATAATCTGTACTTAAATGTAGAAAAGTACAATGGAAACATCTGAGTAAAAATCTAAAAAGAAAATATATAAGGTGCTGTCTGCTGATTTATTATGTCATTATCAACATAGATCATTTTAAATTATTTTAAGATATTATTTGTTTTTAAACCCCACAATAGCTGCATTGTGCATGTCAATTATATACAGTAATACCATCTTTACAATAAAACATGATACATGTTACCAGCATTTAAATTCAATTTTATAATTTTTCCTTTTTCTTTTGCTGTTACCTTTTCCCAATCTGGAAAATATCCTTCATGGTCTCTGATTTTGCTTTTAATCTAAAAACAACTATACTATAGCCCAAGTTTTGGTGGCAGAGAAAGCTCAACACAATGAAACTTAAGAAACATAAACAAGTAGACAAAACCCAAGCAAACTGACAAGTGCATTGTACATGAATGCATAAATGCCATAGGAATTTTCTATTGAGCAAAGTTGCTCATCTACAATACAATATTATTGAGAGTAAACTGCCAACAGCCTACATTATACAGTATGTAAAGTTACACTTTGCCTACTGTTACAAGTATTTTCAATAACCCTCTGCAACTCAACAACGACTAAGAAAGGCATTTCCAATATTGTTTAATAGATCTGGATCCACATGAAGAACTTCGGATAGTGTTGCTTGGAAAGACAGGAAATGGGAAGAGTGCATCGGGAAACACCATCCTGAACCAAAAGGCCTTCACGTCAGTCCTCTCTCCAGGCTCTGTGACGTCAGAGTGTGAAAAGGCCAGAGGAACGGTGGATGGACGTAGAGTGGCAGTCATTGACACACCAGGAATTTATGACACAAAGTACAAAGAAGATGAAGTGATTAGAAAGCTGAAAGAATGCATCTCTCTTTCCGCTCCTGGTCCCAACGTGTTCTTGATTGTGATCAAGTTGGACAGATTCACAGAGGAAGAACAGAAAACGGTTGAACTCTTGCAGCTGGTGTTTGGTGAAAAAGCTTCAGATTACTCCATGGTTCTGTTCACTCATGGTGACAAGCTGAGAGGCACAAGAATTGAAGATTTCTTTAGAAAGAGCCCCCAGCTTAGCCATTTGATTAGAAAATGTAACTGGCGGTATCACGTCTTCAATAACAAAGTTTCCCATAGCAGTCAGGTACCTCAGCTGCTTGAAAAGATAGTAAGTATGGTCTGTGATAATGGAGGAACATTTTACACAAATGAAATGTTCCAGGAGGCTGAGAGAGCGATCCAAGAACGAGCAGAGAAGATTATGAAGGCTAGTGCAGAGCAAAAACGCAGAGAAGAGGAAAAACTGAGGGCTATGTTTAAAGGAGAACAGCTGCAGGCAGAGCTAAAGTATCTTCAAGACGAGTATACAAGAAAATCAAGAGAAAAGGCGGAGAAGAAAAACAAATTCATTGAAACTGGTTTGATCGTAACAACAGCTGAAGTGGGTATTGCAATCGGGGCTGCTGCTGGTACTGTGGGAGGTCCACTTTGCATTGGCATGGGGGCGGTGGTGGGCGGAGCTGTCGGGGCTATAGTCGGAATCTTGGTACCAGCAGCAGCAAAAGTTCTGAAAGAGAAATGCTCTGTACAATAAAACGTACTGCATTTACCTGGTGAGCACTCACTGAGGGGGACGTTACAGCCTCCTGTTACGTATCTTTAAAAAACTCATCTTTTATCATGAACTGATCAATTTGAATGGATGGACCAAAAGTAAACCTGCGGGGATTGGGGGATTAAGGGATTGTCTTTTTTATTTTAATTTCACTATGTCCCAGTTCTACTATTCTGCAGTTATGCGTCTTTGTATCTTTTCTATGGCACACTGTCCTTCCACAGTAATAATACGTTCCATGTTGAATGTCAGTGCATTATTTCTTATGAAGTAATTGTTTGTGGAGGCACCTATTTTAAACATTTCTATCATTTCTCTTACATAATCTGCCGGACTGAAAGATGATTTCAGTATCAAGGGCTTTTTATGGACAAGTGTCAGAATATAGAAACATAGCATGTGTATCATGTAAACATGTAACCTCATTTTTAACGCTACCATTTCACCTGTTTTTAGTCATTGTCATATTTTGATGTATAGATGTATAAGACATATATGTGACCATAGGGAGTGAATTACCATGTGGCCCTTTATAGCTACAGTAGGTAACTTTTATTAAAAAGTTTTTGTCATATATGCTGAAACTTTCTTTCTATGCTGACAGTTACATGAGACAGAAAATCTGTAAAAAAAAAAAAGAAAATCAGGTACCTCCTGGTATTTGCAAGAATCCACCGCGGCTGAATGAAAACAACCTTGAAAACGAGTTTTGGGACTTGAATGAAACTCAACAGTCAACTATCATTCTCAGGATTTTTTATAAAACCTACTTAAGTGTTCAGCCCTTCACTTGCTGACTCTTGTATATAAATGACACAGCCTCCATTTTCCTCCATGCCAAGACCACAAGACTGAAGCATTTGTTGATAGGGCCAGTAAGGAGAACATTGGTGAAATTAACATGAGTCAACTTTGTCCTTAAAATCTGAGGGTGAGCTACCTTTTTACTTATAGGTATTCAACTTTGGAACTCATATGACACTATATTAACACGACAAACAAAATACTGGGGAGTTGCATGCTTTCAAAGATCTAAACATCTATCATATATAAAACATTTTTTTATTTGTATGTATTTTATCATTTTTATTATGTGTGTGTTCCCACATAACGTTTGTGCAGAGTGAAAACAGACAAAGAACAGCTTTTGAAAGTTATATGTGTGTGTGTATCTGTGTGAGGCCTTTGGGGGGCCAAGTAAGTAGTCATATTTTCAAAAAGTGCTTTTGTTAGCTATGGTGTTTTTTTCTACTTCTGTTTCTAAAAGAGCTGTTTAGGCAGATGGGAAGTGGATGTGTAAAGAAGTGTACACAATAAGCAGCCACACAGAAGCACTCCAGGCAAATTCATGTCAGACAAACAGTATTCATGTAAAACACACTACCTTTATCTGTTTATCTGTGGTGGGCTAATGGTTGAATATGTGAAAAAATAAATACATTCAATTAATAATCCGTCCATATTTCTCCTCTTTGTTTCTCTTTTGTTGAAAATGACTTTGAGTCTCACTCTCTCTGCTGACAGCTGGACTCAGTGGCCCTCAGGGAAATTGACCATCTCTCTTCAAATGTCTGTTCTGCACATAAAAGAGCCACACATCGCTCTAAAGCACATTCCTACACACTCACATGTACATGCAGGACACATTCATTCATGTACAGTCATTTTCTCGCTCTTACTTGCAACAGGGACTATTTTAAGGGTTTTCTCATGCGTTAGTAATCGGTCCAAAGGCCACAGAGTACAATAGAGGTCTACAGTTAACAGCTTGGTGTGCTGTGACATTGGAGACCCATAAGTGGCTTGGGGTGAATCTGTCTTTAGAAATTAAATTCAACAAGCCAGACAAGCTCATTTCAAGCACAGACAAGCAAAAAAACATTGCATTTTGTGTGTGTCTCAATGTGGTATTTTGTGTGAGATTTTTTGGGGGGGCCGTTTGTACCAACAAGAAAATGCACTTTATATGCCGGACAAGATCTCAGACGGTGAAGTGATATAGTTACAGTTTGGTTTCTTTCTTATTTAAAGTGCGTTTTATCCAGATGTTTTATGAGCATTGTCAACATAAAAATAATACTGCTGCCCCTATTGTTTCCTCATCATTATTCATGTAATCCCAATGCATCGGCCACTGTTGTTGTTGTTGTTGTTGTTGTTGTTGTTGTTGTTGTTGTTGTCACCTGAAATTACAAATTATAATGGCAAAAAAAGACATTGCCTGTTATGATCAACTTTAGAATGAAAAAAGTGAACAGTTGACCTTCATTATAAATTTGTACCAGTTTTAGGTAGAAATAGGAAAGGATTATTCGTCATCAATGCAGATCTGCTGTTACCACCAGAGCGATGCTTCCTATCTGTGCTGATGCTTGATACGTCTCATATGATGCACTGCAGCCCTGCGGCGGTGGGGTGTGGGGAATATTATTATATTTGTTTGACTGGCTACCAAATGACATCCTCGTTTGATACGTGAAACAAGGGGAAATCACAAACCATCGGGCAATTTAAAAATGCAGCATAGTAGCACAAAACAGAATGTTAATTAATTTACTGTGCCCATTAATAAATCACGGGACCCGACAACTAATCATTATAAGCATCTCACCCGTTGTCTTCAAAATTGCAGAGATGCTGAACAGTGGCCCTTACTCCTCTTCTCTCTGATGAGCCAGGTTTGCCGTTATAAATGTTCATTAAGTCAATAATACAAGGTCAGGGGTGTCTCACTTTCTAATAAAGTAAGGGCCAGCCTATTCACAACAGAAGAGGTTTGCATGACGGATTGTACAACCACGTTGTAAATAAAATCTGTTTTGTTCTGAACAGATATACTCAAGGCAGGAGTGAAAAAGCCAGCTGTCACAGAGAGCTGCAATAACCACTAAAATATGGGAATAACGGTGCATATTTTTAGACCCTCTCTACTGGAAGGCATATTGCACATGGTTGTTCACAAGAAAAGTGACAGAAATAGTTTTGTTATGAATGAAAAAAGAGAGCTTGAGAGAGAAATCCTGCTCACTGACCAATCACTGCATGGAGTGGGTGGAAATCAGTTTCCGAAAGCGAGCCCGCCTCAGTTCCCTCATTGGAGTGGTGGGAGGTTTCTGAAGCAGTTCAAACATCCATAAAGAGGTTCTGATGGAGTCATTATTGGGTTGTTACAATATTAAGTCTACAGATGTAAATATTAATATGTTGTTCATAAATGGATTTGGGTCCAGATGCTCTGCAGCCCTTTTCTACCTGATGAATAAAAAAATAATAATTAAAAAGTAAATGCAACAGTCATGTTTGAGGGGGTTTAACACCAGCAAAGAAAGCTTTTTGCAACCTGGCAACCCAAATCCTTTGTTACACACATTATGAAATAACTTATTAATCATAATAGAGCTATTATCTATAACTTATAAACCATTTATTAAACTCAGATGAACACAAGAGAGAGAAAGACGGGGAAACATACAAATTTTAATGTAAATTTCAGATGGAGATGAATAATTCAAGGATCCACCTTTGGGATGATGAAGTTCTAAAAGAAAGTGGTGGCAGGAAGATGTATGGGGTAATAGTGTCAAGACAGCTTACATGGAAATGCCACACCAGCATCAATAATTCTGCAACATTTGCCTGGCATGCTTCAAGCACAAGTTTACCCCTGCCCCCCCAACATACACATCCGTAGAGAAAGAGAGAGAGATGTGCTGAGTGAATTAACTCTTCCATGAAGCATGAAAAGCATTCATTGTGTCATTATATAGCACATCCACAACTGCACTCATCCAGCGAAGCGCAGCACTGCGGTTTTACAGAGCTTCCTCGTGCTCTTTCATTTCTTTGCATTTCTTTGCCGGCGACGATCTTACTGCCCCAAACAAAACCTGTTTTCTTTACACACTCCACTGAACCATTGATCCAGGGATAATGGAGTTATCACTGATGGCAGCACAGGTAAGGTGGCAGACATACAGTTATCTGTTTAAGGTCTTACTTTTAAGGCTTTTAGGCAATTCAATCCAAATGTTTTTTTGTGTTTTTGTTTTCTAAGGATGAGTAATGCACGAATTACACTGCTGATTACAGTGTCACAATGTTGTTGTTTTGTTTTTTTTTTACTGTAACTTAACCCTTTAACCAGGCTCAGCAAATGAAATTAGAGCTAATATGTTGCTTCTTGTATGTTTACTGCTTAAGTTTTTTAATTTTTAATTTTATTTTAACATTTGCGACAGTGTTGGATGTTATTGTTCATTACTCTTGTTCAGATAAAACATTATTTATTGGATGAAGTTGTTACAAGTGTAGCCACAGACATACAAGGTCTATTTTTATCAGCCAGAGGATGCAAAGAAAATTACTTGGGAATGAAGCGTAGCTGCATACACGGAGTCACTGGAGCGTGAGAAAAGTTTTTTGTACATTTGTAAAGTGCACAAATTTGCATGGTAGATATACAATTTTAGACAGTGCACACATACGGAGATGACTCAGACGGCAAAGTAGCACAGAAGCACGCAAGAAAGGGCTCATGCTTTATTTAAACAACTGAGTCACTACAAAGATGCTGTGCTTCCTGTCATTTTTAACAACTTTTTTTAACTGAGTCGAGTAAAGCATCCATGATCCATAAACAACAACAAAACAACATTTAAAGTTCGATGCCAGCGATTGTTGGGTTTGAGAGAGAAACCCGAGTCTTTTGTTCTGCTGAGTTTAAGGGCTAAAGCTAGTACAAAATTCTTTATAGAGATAAGAGAATCCACAAAATAGTAATTGTTCTCTGTGTGCAAAGAAGCATACACAAAAAATTAGATAAAGTGATTCCATTCTGTGTTCAGTCACTGCAGTAGTCTCATCAATTTGCTTGCTCTGAATCATGGTAAAACATTCTCGTCCCATTTTCTGCCTGTTTTTTTTTTCTCTCTGTCACCTCTGACCTATGATGTTGAGCATTAACTAGCCTGAAGGCAGAGCTTTATGTTACAACCATGCTCCCTTGAGTGGAGGTGTAGGGCTTTGCAGCCTATGGATATGTTTTGAAAGCAATTACTGTACTGTGGCTTTGAAGTGCAAGCACAGTGAAAGTCCTATTTTTATGGCATTGGATCGCTGCTACTTTATTACTCAAAGCATTTGGAAAGTTTCCTATCAAAGAAAATTATGGGTGATGGTCTGGTGAGGAGAATGGTTTATTACAGCTATATCTTTAGATCAGCAAATTCTTAAATAAAATGTTCATTGCATTTGTGTATGACCGGAGTAAAGAATTAGTTCATGAAGCAAACTTTAGGGATCTTTTCTGAACCCATGTCAAATTCTGGTATCATGTTGGTATAACAATGATATAATTTACCTTGAAGATGTCACTGAGATCAGATACACCAAACAAATAACATTAAACACTGTAATCATAACACCTAAATGTAAATAAATATTATATATTGCTATAATATTACTATATTATGTTTATATGTGGTGTTTGAGTAGGGTTGAGAAGTGTTGGAGCAGAACACTAGATGGTGTTATTGAGACTGAGCTTCTGCCTACTTAAGTTGAGTTTATCATGTGACATTATTCTAGATCATTAAATGGCACAGCTGGATTGTTTCTGATGACATCTGCAACAACAATTGAGACTAATCACAACTGAAAACTAGAAAAATTAATTGCCTTTTTAACTGTGAAATTATGCCCTCTGCTGCTTGCGGGAAAACTACTTGTTTTCCTGTTCCCATTTGAATTTTTGTAGACTCTAACAGCTTGAGCTTTCACAAATCAAACATTTTATGACACTAGGTGCTTCAGGAGTAAAGTTAAATAACAAATATCAACCTAGAAGATTTCTTATAGCGTGACACATGTTATGCAGATGAAGTTACTTTTTCATACAGTGTACTCTATCCAGCTGTGCAGATTTGATGGGAAATCTCCTATGATAGCCATCTGCTCAAAGGTACTAAATCAACTAACCTTCTGTGTAAAGACACATTCAAACAATGACAAAAGATGCTGCAGTCTTCCCAAAACGTTTCCACACTGACAGACTTTTAACTTCTGAGGTAAAATTGTATCTCTGTCTAACTATTCCTGCACAGAAAGCAGATTCAGAGTCCCATTTTCTGGTTTCTGGATTGAGCAGTATTCCCCTTTAATTCCCTGAATGTTGTCACTGAGCCTGCTCCAGACGTGAACCCTGTCCAGCTGAAGGAGTTTGATGGAAAGCCTCATCTGATAGCCATCTGTTCTCAGATAGTTAATCAGGAGTGCTCAATGTGTGGTCCTTAATCACCCTACGCTAACTGTCTCTGAACACTCTGCAGTCAACGCCTCAACGTTCTTGCTGAAGAAAAAGATGCACCTCCAAAACTTTGTTTCCTAGAAATTGAAAAAGAAGATGGTGTTTGTTTGTTTTTTTTGCACCTGAACGGCTCGAGGGTCACTGACAT